ATGTTTCAACCTACTGACTGCACTTTGCCTGCAAATGCTGGCATGACGGGCATTTTTGATTGTTGTGTTTGTTTTCTGTTGACCTTACTTCATGTAGGCAGGCTGTTGTTTCTGTTTGTCTAATGTTTGTTGCTTCGTCTTGCTTCGGTTGACTCTCTTTGCCCTTCGCTTGGAAGTGGACATATTCTCTTTGGCAGAAGAGTGCTGTGATGATTATGCAATGATCTGGTAAGTTTCTGAGCCTCTGTGAAGAGAATCTCAAAGTTTCAATCCACTGACAGCACTCAGACATGATGGGCAGTTTCAAAGCTTGATCATGTGCACGGCAACCTATGGCTTGTAATCGTTTGGAGTGCATCGATGATAAAGATGAATCGCCTTTAATTAGAAGTAATGCAGCGTTAGGGTCAGGATCGTAGTATCCAATATGCAATCTGATTGTTTTGTGAGAGGAGCGTTGGGATGATAGTGTGGCTCCGTACCTGTTCCACTTTCATCTACCTACCTACTTATATAACTCCAGTTCCATGGCTTACTTGTATGCATGTCCGACGCAAAAAGAGGACCCTGTCTCGGGATATTGGTCAAGTAATGTCGGTCGATGGGATTTCAGGTCAACGTCCGAGCTGGTGTGGTCTACACGGCCTTTGTGATTCATGCTACGCCGGGGCCTGCAGATGTGGAAAGAGACCCCCATGGTGGGGTGATGACCTGCGAGACATTGCTCAGCGAGGGGCCCGAATGTTGAATTTGAGGTTTCTCGGTTTCACCCGGGTTTGGGTTTGTGGTAGAAGGTGAAGGGCATGGCATGGAACCTTTTGTTGTGATCCCTTGGGCGATCCCTTATATATGCTGCAGAAATCGTTCAGACATTGCACCACATCCGGAGGTACTAACAGGTGGTGATTTGGATCTTTTTGTCATCAGGTCTCATGGGTGCCTCAAGAAAGAATCATGGTTTAGTAGATGGCACGATCGCCTGGAAGACAACCAACTCCTCTACATTTCACAGCTTTCACAAAGATGTTACCAACTTTACTAAGCAATTACTGTTTCCAGAAGTGTGCAGATCCACTCAATTTTTGTAAAGTCAAAACACATGTTTAAACAACAAATAGCTAATAATACCAAACTCACAAAGAAAGGCTTGTCCCGTCGTTTCGTTCTGTTTTGTTTTTCATTTGGAGTCCCTGCAACCTGCCCAGGGCCGGCCTAGGGACCTCTAAGCAGGACATCCGCGCCAAGCTGGTGCCGAGAGGGGGAGGGGGCCCGGGCGGAACGCTGGTCCTGAGGCAAATCAAGAAAGAGGTGTTTGACCTTCCCAAATTACCTGACTGGTGCACGAACTGAGAGAATGAGATGAAATGAGATGGAATGCCCACATTTTGAAATGAGTTTTCCCACCAGGATTCATTTCTCGGTTAATTCCCTGTCGATTGGCGGCAGTCAGAGGACCAAGCAAACGGAGTTTGAATCTGACAGTTCGAACTTTGAGGGCAGACATCGAAGTCAAAAAGGACCTTCGATCTTGTTCGATGTGAAATCGGCTTGAACCAATTGACAAGTCATGTTCAGATGTGAACCCGGTGCCGGATTGTTGCGGAAGCTGCAACCTCGCAGATTGGTGCTCATGTGTCACTCGAGTGGCCGAAAAGTGGCTTCTTAGGATCCGAATGACTAGGAGGGCCAATCCCCAAGGCTCAGGAGACCAAGGGGATTTGGACAGTTCACCTCTCGTTGAAGTGACCTTACGGGTTCTTTGAGCTACTCAGATTTCGATCTGCTCAGTATAATACTCAATATTTTGCTTGTTTCATTGTGCAGCAGCATTGGCAAATCCCCCAAGCCATCATCCTACTTGTACAGAATTGTTACGCACATTGAGCTTCTACCCGGATTCTACCCGGTAATGGACGCAACTATTGCAGTTCCAAGCATTCATTTGGAATAACGACTTCCAACTGTACGGTTCCCATGAATACTCTTAGGTTGACACCCCAACCCAGCAACCCCACACCCCAATGCTGCTCTAGGTGCCCTATGACATGAGGTCCACGTCTGGAGCCTAGCAGGCTGAAGGAACCCTCCAAGTGGAGCAAGGAACTTGGCAAGCCGTCTTAGCAACGAGCTTAGAAAAAAAATTGCAGGTTCAACAAGTCTCGTCTCACTGGGGAGTTGAGACGAGAGTTTTGAGGAGGGTATATCTAATTGAAGAGCTCTATTTTCTTGACATGCTCTTCAAGAATTGCTACAATAGAATCACAGGCTAGACTGCTCAACCCCGTGTTTCAAAAAGTGTCATGCTTGCTCCGCTTCTCAGGTAGGGTTTCAGAGTATGTCATGACTCATGGCATTACCCGTGATCAGCAAGTATATATATATATATTAATTAGCAAGCCAATGCTGTTGCTGTGCATGAGCTGTGCAAGATTGTCATTTTTGTTCCACCAAAAGCATCAGAGAGGTAGGATAGGATAAGGTGATTAGATGATTTGGATGGTTCTGGCATGGTGCAGCCAAACAGCAGCTGCCCGCAGCGGACCTCAGGGGAAGACAACACAAAACTCATCAAAACTCGATCTCAGACTGAAGATCGCTATGATTCGGCCAAAGCAAATCCCGGAACTGCTGGGTACCATGGTGTATCACCATGTCACCACTGTACTGGACAGACTCGAAAACAATCGACCACCCCCTGCAGGTTGCAGACCTGCCAGACGGTGGGTGCCTACATGGGATTTCCATTTAGCCACGTGGCCGACAGGAGGGAGAGGTTTCTGAGACGCAGGTCAAGAACGACTTCATGCACTTCGGACCCGCCCTAGTTGAAGTTGGAGGTTCAATTGGCGGTGAATCCTACAAAAAGGCTTTCATAAGGTCGATTTTCGGAAATCTCGGGAGCGTTGGTGCCGGTACGCGCAAGTTCGGTACATTCCTGTGAAGGTTGGTGTCTCTCAGGCGATGGGTTGTGGAAGACGGGGCGGTAAGCTGGCAACATAGAGCTCAGCTTAGTGCGGGCAGAAGTAATTACAATGATGTAGACTATTGGTTCAGCTTGATTCATAACTTCCGCCCAGAACTGGATTGTAAAACTATATGGTATCATTAATTATATACCTTTCAAGCTTGGGGGATTGACATACAACCACATTACTTTGGTTTCCTGTGGACAGACAACGCTTCCTACGGTTTCCTGTGCTGTCAAACAAGACAGGCAACTCTTGCTGGAGATGGACGACTGGTCAGACACCTTGCTATGGATGTTGCTATATGTTCATTCCTCTTTAGTGATGAGTACACCTCTTTTGGATCTCTTTGGTATTAAGACAATACCATAGGGGGGTCTTGGCATTGCAATCATGGCGCATATTTGCGATATTTGCCACCTCGCTAGACAGTATTTGGACGATCCACCTGACAGGACTGTCTGCGTCATGTGACTTGTGTGTTCTTTTGAAGTCATCCATGGGAGCTTCTGAGCTTCTGAGCTTTGTTCTGAAGATGCCAACTTGCGGGTCCTGCACACCGCCCAGATGGGGCTGAAAATGCCGTCATCCCTGGGCAACTACCAGAGGCAGGAAAGGGGGGGCTGTAGCGGGCTGCAGGTTGCGACCTGCATGGAGGGAAAGGGACCAGGCTGACGGCATTTGGCCAGCAGTTGGTTCGCCAGCATTTGGCCATTGAACCTTTATGGAGGTTGGTGGTTTCAATCGTGATGCGTAGTGCGCGTGGGTGACGTGGGGACATGCCTGAGCAATGAGGGAAGTCCGGGAAAATGATTTTCCCCAAAGAAGGAAAGCTGGTTTCAGAAGTTGCGATAGGGGCTAGATGAGGCCACTGATTCTTTCCTATTCGTGCTAGTTTGGAGGATGTAAGGGACACTTCTGGAATGCCCATCCTACTTCCCTTTCTCACATGTGTATAGTAGTTGCTTTCGCTTGCAATGATGCAGATTCAGAGGCCCTATTAATTTAGTGAATCTTATGACATGAAACTTGTAAATGATGCCCTGCTTGGCAATATTTTACGTATTTACTTTGGTTCGATTTGGTCAGGGGATGGACCATGGGACGACCTTTTCTGGAAGCTTGATTGAATAGAATACACTCAGTGCATCAGGACTCAAAGGAAGAGTCTGTTGTTGGGTGAAGAACTTGGATTTATGCTGCTCCCAGAATCCCAAATACCTTCCATCACCAAAGCCATGCTGGATCCGAAGACTGGAGGGCTCTCACCTCTTAGGGTCCGGATGGGCTTCCCTCACGTCGCCCACCGGGGCACCGGAGCACCCTATCGGTGCTTTCGGCACCGTTCCGCCGTTCCGCCCTTCGTTCGTCCGCGGCGCAGAACATCCGGAACGTCTTTGGGCCACTGACCTTTCCCAACGGCGGACTGTTTAGACTTTGCTACTCTCCAGATGGGGTGCAGTGGCAGGCGCCAGGGGTGCCGGGGCTGGGTTCATAGATAGCCTTTCATAACGTTTTGTACTTCTGTTGATCTGAGTGGGGTCTGAGCGGCTGGGTTGACTCATGTCTATTACTTGATTACCCATGATTACCCCACATAGCGGTGTGCTGGAGCTCCAATTGTTAAGGCCTACAGGTAAAGTTTGTTCAATTGGATCAATCTAAAACCTGGTGAGAAGAACTTCTTGTTAGATTCTGATGCACTTCTTAGATTTTGAGACAGGTTCGTTTGTACGGGCGTGACTCATAAATTTTGTTGCAGCAGCGTTCACGAGGGATCCCGGCAACATTACTGACAACTCGGGGTCTAGAAGATGCACTCCCAGACTCTCAAACACAAGACAGAGCACCATCCCTCAGCCTTGACCCCTAATCCCCAGTGCTTCGCTTGTACATATCCTTGGACCATCATGGCCTGTGCTTTTCATTGGCAATTCTCCCTCAGACACCTCCCCCCCATTGGCTCTTTGGGCACCTCGGAAGTTGGAAACCAACACGAAACACCAGACGTCGCAATGCTGCTATCCTGAGCGAGGAAAGGTGAACAACACACCTCGCATAGAGCCTATCAAGAATCCAGATTGGATTGTAAGGGTCCTTTGTATTAAACTAGTGTTCATTTTGGATGTTCATTTTGTATGAATCCTTTGTATTAATTATGTTCCTTTTTACTAAGCTTGTGTTCATTTTGGACCGCTGTCTATTCCGCGGGAACATCGGTTCCTGGGTCTCATCGTATCTCTCTCTCCACCCGTCGGCTGCGGGAGCATCGATGTAGGAGCTTGAGCCGAGCATCTCAGTCTTTGGTGCCGAGAGCAAGGAAAACAAGATTTGGCCAGGAGCTCAGAAACTCACCCCGGTCTTTGGTGTTTCTTTTGAACGAGTGAGTGACAGCAATGGATTGGAGCAAACTGACACAGATGGTTCAACTTGATTTTAAGGGACGATCACTTAGATGTTGCTGGGGTCCCCGGCTCCCCTGCGAATATTCCTCGGCAGCCTCAACGGTCTTCAATCATGATCCTGCAGGGTACAGGGTCACCGTGACTTTCGCACCTCTGCAGTTGTGGTGCCTCTATGATATCCATGGTCTCCTACAGGTAGACGGATTCATTCAGATCATGTTCCTCGGCAATCGAAGACACCTGCACACTGATTGGTCATTCACTTGCGGCCACAGACACCTGACGGCTGCAAGAGGAAAGACAAGAGGGTTTTCACTGGGGCCCACAGCGAAGCATCTGACCTGCCATGCGAAGGTCCTTCTGTCGTTTCGCGAGTCGAAAGAAACCACCGGCGGAAGATCGAACGCTGCCGGCTGTGGCCATCGCGGATGCTGAGTGACACACTGCAAAAGCGGATGCTGAGTTTGCACGTTTTGGCTTGCACTTTGTTGTTGGATGGAAGATCTAAGTGGAACATATAGCGGAGACAAAGCAAACACCTGTGAAGAAACTTGACCAATATGACTATTGCTGCTAGCTGTTTCTGGCGATCAGAGTTCACCGCACCCAGGTGTCCAGTGACCAGTCTTAGACGGGCGTGCTGGGCTTAGATGGGCGTGAAGGGCCTCCTGGAGTATTAGTGCCCATGACTGTGTCAGATTCAGAAGGCACAAGCGAGCCAGGTATCGGTATTGGTGCTAATTCGTTTGGTTCAAGCTCCCACTTGGTTACAGTAAGAGAAGACCCGAATCAATGCCAGAATGTACATTTGGCTGAACAATATAGCTAGAAAGTTAAAGTCGTGGCGGGTGAGATATAGTTGAGCATTGCTTGATAGGTAAAAGGATGTAAAAGGGCACTTGGTGGACCTCAGCATGTTTAGCTGTTGAAAATTGTTGGGCGCTTTCAAGGTATGAGTAGTTGCCAGGTAGTTGCTTGACTCTCATTTCTTTGCAAGTGGATCAGATACCAATATGGTTTGGTACATCGTGCTTGTTCCTTAACGAACACCTGGCCGTGTCCGAAGTCTTGGTTCCTTCTTGTCATGGTAGCTATATATATAGTACAATCATCCAGTATATGTGGATGGGTCCAAACATGTCAAATCTGAGGTCCCCCAAAACCTAAAGTAGGTTGACATATAATTATATAGGATATGGCATCATTTGTAACATTTTGTAGCCCTTTTGTCCCAAAGTCTGTTCAGTGCCACATACCCGTATATGCGGTTTGACTCGTCTCGCTACGTCCTCGGTGGTCGCAGATTCCACGTGCGCTTCGACCGGAAAAATCGCTGCAGGGAGTGCAAGACGACCACACCCACGCCCATCGGCTGCGAGTGCACTGGCAAGGTGGATATTGCACGAGTTTTTTTCGTGACAGCAAGAGGGACCGTCGTCCAATGTTCTGTACATGTCCACTGGGGCTGCCAAATGCAAAGTCCATACTCACCTTGCTTTTGTTGGAATGGGGGGGAAGTGTCCATCATTCTGGAGAGCGACACCAGTTTTGGAGTCATGACTTGGGTGGAGCGGTGGAGCAGACCATCGACCAGATCATCGAGAAAAGTCTTTTTTCCTTCGATGTCCATCCCTGTTATTTCATGGTCTGGTTTGGAGTGGAGGAATGGTCAAGCACAGCCGTGATCGAACCTTTTAAACAAGTACGAGTGCGGGAGAAGAATATCCAAGTTAACATTCGTTGGATTTGGTTGGTATGATGAGGGTTGTACTTCCAAGGTTTTTTGCCCCTGCAATTCTGGCATGGTCGAGAATCCAAACCAAACATTTCCACAATCTTTTGCAGATTGCCAGAACTATTGGGCATGTCCGCCTCTCAAAGGACTTACATTCCGCACGGCGTGACGGGTCTCAGTTGTTTCATGTTGTTTACAGGGTGCTAGAGAGAGTGACTTGGATTGAGACTTTATCATCAGTTTTGTCATCACTACAAGTCAGTTTTGCTTGCAGCTATCACGGCAGCAGACTGCAGCGGCACAAATTAGATCTTGAAATGGCAGTGGATCAAGATCAAAGACCCCCAATCATGCCTAGCACCATGACAGGTTGGGTGACTTTGGAGGCTTTAGACCTGCCATATGACACGCATGACTTGGCAGGTGCAAGGGTACAAGAGAAATAACATGACCGATGAGTTCATGCTGACAGGATTGTCCGTGGCTCAGAGGCTTCACGCTTCAGTGAGCCCTATAGAATGTGTTAGTGTTGGGGCGTGATCAATATTTCGGAGGCCATTGCGGAACCAAATCCAAGTTCGTCGATTTCCTGACTGTGCCCCCCCTTCACCGAATTTAGGACCTCGCTCTAAAATGGTGGACAGACTGGCAGCTGAGTCATCAAAGAGACTGAGATCATCATGGGACCAAAGGTCAGTTGTGGGCAGATTGGTAGTTCCATCACTAGGTGAACTGAATCAGTGCTGTTGCCAGTTCCGTCGGATCACCCAATCCCTGAAAAAAACTGCTGCCCAAAGAAAGTGAGCATGAATTTCAGAACATCATTGCGAGCAGGACAGCTTTCATTCATCGGCCGACTATGGCAGTTTGGATTTGGAGGATCAAAAGGAGGACATGGAGGAAGCACTGTACATGGCCAGGGGTTCTTTTAGGAGAAAGAACCGTTCCTTCACCATTTGGAAGGTCACCTTCACGCTTGATACAAGCATTTTCATTTAATTTCATGTGTTTTCCAGAATGTTGTTTGGACATTTTTGATCAAATCCACATGATCCAAAACCGTGGATCGCCCGATGCTGTTCCCCGTCATCGACCCAAGGCCAAATCCGGCCTATCCGCCCTGGCGCTCGAGCTTGACCTACGTGAACGAGGCGGATTGATTGACCGGCGTGTCACTGCGAAACCTCGATGGGTCAGGTGTCTCTCTCGACGTAGCTGTGAATCCAAAGGCCCCAATGAGAGAGACATTTGTGTCCAACTGAGAGCGTAATAGGGCCATGACCACTAAATCTGACACACTGAGGCATCTATCCAATGGAGGTAGGGCCATGTGGAGATCCGGAACATGATGGACGGTGCTTCGAGCGAAGAGTAGATGAGTAGATGGTGCAATGGTTGCATACGAATTGCGTTGTGGCCTTTGCCTACCAAACAACAGGAACTGTGAAACGTTCACGACAGGGCCATTCTTGGAGGATGAACACCCCTTTACAACTAGAAAGTTTTGACCCCATAGCCAGTGACAACAGATTTTGGGCTTGGATTCATATTCCTTGACTATGCAGTGTTTTCCGTGTTTCATCAGAGATCCCTGCCTGACCAGAGTGGCCTCCGAGATGGTGTGTGTTTGTTGTTTGGAATCGTCCTAGCTTGGATAACGGGCTGCCATTTTGGAGGCCTGAAAAAAAGACACTAGACACACTGAGGCTTTGGTGCAGAAAACAGCAGCACAGCATTCCTTGGATCTTAAATTTTAGGACTGGTAGTCACTGGTAATGTGCCGTGTATATGCTTAAGGTAGTTTATTAATTGTATTTTAGATATAATATCTAATATAAATTATAATTTTTAGTTCTGTACATAACATAATGAACAGTATATACATGTAAGCATCATATCTATGTTGGTCTTGACATGCAAGATGCTTAGCATGCAGAGCACTCCTTTCCACTCTAACCCCGTCTGGTGACTGGAAGCATCACCGGTGACGAACCGCGACGTTTGTCCAGGTCTGCGGCGGTGGTCAGGATGCGGCCCCCTTTGTGGACAAGGCCGAGTCGCTGCCCCTTCGCTGACCTCAGAAAACACCATATTATGGCTATGGTGTTCCCTTCCACCATACCTTTCGTGGTGATCCCACTCACTCACGCAGAAGGTTTCCCTACAGTTCACTTTCCGCTAAGAGGTCATGAGCAGATCGCCACCCGGTCCGACGTGCGAATCACACGCGGCCAGCCGGCCGACCAGGTCTCCAATGTTCAAAACGAGATTGGTTACGAGGCGCCTGGCGAAGCCGTGTCTCCACAGGGTGAAGTAGACGGGGGCGAAGAGCGTGGCTTTCCGTGACCTGCAGGACGTGTAGGAGGGAGACCCTGACTTGGAAAATCCAGTCAGTCAGTCAGCTGTTTGGGTCAGGCTTGCCACTCCTCGTCTCAAAATAAAAAACATGCCAAAAGCACTCCTGGTAAATCCTTGGGGCAAAAAGTTCATTCCCCAGCCTTGAAGCTTCAATATGCTTCAAGCTCCAAAAAATGGGGAGCTTTTTGGAGGTCAAGCAAAAGAAGATACTGTACCTGTTTGAGCTACCAAGCCATGAGAAATCGTCTCCTGCAAGGCTCATCGACCCATTTCATGACCGCCATAATCCGGAACGGTCCACCAGTGGGTTTTCGATGTGTCTTTCGAAGCCAACGCGGAGAACTGTTTGGGCAGATCCACAACTTTGGCTTGATCAAGGATGGCTTTAACTTGGGAGCTGCTTGGACTTGGATCGTTTGGATGATTGGATGGAAGGAAGGACTGCAGATGTGGAAATGTTGCAGATGGTTCCCGCAGGATGGATGGTTTTGGTTTCGGGAGGCCAGGAGAGACCGGGAGTGCAATGGCGAATTTGAGTGTCCCTGCGCGAATTGATCATGTGAGAATGGACACACCTACCTACGATAACTCTCCTTTTGCACAAGTGGCATGTTCTATAATCATTTTATCTCTATTTTGAGTCACTGTTCTTGATTGTTTAGACACCGGATCCACCGAAAAAAAGAAAAAAAAAACAACGAAAAACCGAAGAACGATGTCTCCACATGAACGGACACAATACAATGAAGTCCAAGACTATTCTACGAAAGTCTACAATATGCGGTGTTGTGTGTAGACTTATCATCAATCATGAACCATGTACCGTTGTTTTACCTGGTCATTGGTTGGTCCTTCTAGTTGAGCTGAGGTTTGGAAGGTTTGCTACTGCGCCGGCTTCGACTATGACAATGGCGCAGGGGATGGAGGTCTGAAACTGGTGGAGTGATGTTAGCAGACTTGGCGTTTCCTTGGCCCAAGCTGACATAGCTTTGATTTGCAACATCAAGTCACCGTTGACCATTGGAAGAGGTTCATTTACATGGGCTGTGTGTTTGTGTGTGTTATGTTGGTGTGACAGGGTATGTATTGAAGGTGAGATTGGTTCAAGTATGTGTAAGTAAGTTCAAGTAGGTAGTAAATGGTCAAAACGAACTGCTTTTATGAACATTTGGGTGAGTAACCAATATAGGTTGGTTGATATTCCCATATGTTTGAACGTGGATCGAACCAGAAGATCATCCCTCAGATCAGACGTATGGAGCCACGTCTTACAAGTGGCAGGCAGTCTAGTAGGAGCAGTTCCCAAAGTACCTACATTGAGCAAAAGCCCCAGCAAAGTGTACGGGGGTTTCTTTACAACCCCAAGTGCGTTTCGACGTGGCCCTCAGAAAACAGTGGCAAGGAGAAGAATTCCTTGTAAGATTCATTCCAAGTGACCCTCCTCCAAAGGTTTTAAAGGCGCAAATCTGTGCAGTCCTACAGTGTCAAAAGCCTCCAGTTGGGTGGATCCAATGATAGTTATGGCGTACTGCTGATCAGATCGGAGAGATCTCCAATCCACATCACAGGCACATCCTAGGCTTGAAAAAATCTGAAACAAAGATGTTTTGGCAGGTCGCGTCGGCGGAGAAACATTGAAACATGAAGAAACCATATATGTGCAAAGCATCTTCATGTTCCATGGATTTTCCTACCTAAAAGGACACCGTGACACCTGTTTCTTTTCACTTCCCAGGGCTCTACATCTGTATACCTTTGTCTACTTCTCTCCACCCTCCGCTCCCTCCAGGCGTTGTGACGGTCTGTTCCAACAACGTCCGGGGACCTGAGTCGGATCTCCTGCGGGCGGTACGCGCGGCTGGGCTGCCCAAGGCTGCCGAAGACGATCTTGTCAAGGTACCCGTTACCTGCAAAACTAACATAGCACCTGAGAATTGACCCGCGGAAGACCATGGTCCGAATATGACCGAATACCAACCCGGGTGGTTTTCAGGTTCCATGTTAATCTGCAGGGGAGTACCCTTGCAAGCATCATCACACTGTGGTGAAGTGTACAACTTGGGGACCCGCAGGCCCGCAGGTTCTGATTGATGCCCTCTGATTTTGTTGCACTAATTAGGTTTGGTTTGCACTTGATGCTTGAGCCAAGCCCCAATAAGTGGGGAATTATGAAATGAAGAACTGAATCCCCAAGAAACAGTTGTTCTATCACGGAAGTCAAGCAATTTATGTAACATTTGTGACTTGATGTGCTTGGTTGAAGGATCTCGGGGGAGCTCCCCATTCCACAGACCCATGGCCCTTCGTCCTGATCGTTCAATTCTCATCTCCGGGGCCAGGCGCCGCAAGACTTTCCACAAGAGATCGGAATCCTCGTGATCATCGATGCTCCTCGGTTCATTCAAAGTGGAGTCAGTTGGAGTGGGTGATGGTCTGGTCTTTAGAGTCGTGCAGAACATGGCAGAAGCCTGTTTTCTTTTTTATGAATGAATTCTCATTCAAGTGGGTTAAAGACCTGGAGCCCATGACACTAGCGTGATCAACATAGGACACATGATATGATGTTTTGCAACCCTTGCATACTCTTGTTCTTGTTGCTATGCAATTGATAGGTTCTCACAGATAATCACATAGTAATATTACAGTATATATATATGTTAGGGAAGGTTGTTGGCGCAAGGACGTGTTGGTTCTGATTTTGTGAGCAGACATGGTTGAAAGTTGGACTTGTCTTGCGCCCACCTTACAAACTTTGCACTTTTTGTGTCTTGGAAGTGCCTGAGAATTCAGCGCGACAATACATTTTGAGTCAACTGTAGCGTGGTGAGCTCAGTCAGCACTCGACCATGCAACCTTAGAACACGCAGATTGGTTGTTATGCCCGAGTGCCAACCGAGTGATTGAATAATGCATTTTTGTTTTTTTTGGAAACTTAGTGTTCATTCCAGATCAAGACAGCTTTCACTATCATGCCATCATGATGATCATATCATATTTATATATACATCATCCATAGGCCATGCTTGTGCAAGGAGTCCGGACGACACAGTATATAATATAGAGTCTAGGGTATAGAATTACAACATGTTGTGTATTCACTTCGACACTGGTTTGTTTCTGTTGCAGCTCAGCTCAACCCTTGCTAGGTGCAGTCGCTCATGGGACAGGCTGGAAGTGCCCGGCAGCCCCAGAATCAAACGCTCATGGTCGGTCGCTGCCCCTGCTCTCGGTGGATTGTTGCAAAGGTCCTTTGGTCGGAGGCTCTTTTCTTTGTGACAGACAGTATATGTAGGGCCAAGACAATCCACCACTGCACACCCGTTCACAGTTTTGTTATGTGGCGTTCCAGGCTGGCTATATAGCAAGAACTTGATCGTAGTTTTCACTTGTGTTTTCATTGTTTTTAGATGCTATGACATCCCCACTCAGTGTTCCCATGTCTTTTTATGATTTTGAGGTGGTCTTGTTCCTAAGATTGTGATTTGGAACTGAGACGATGTGATTTTGTCCTTGGTAAAGCTGTACCGCTGTGCTTGGCAGTGAGACCCAGCCAGTGAACCCACGACCATCCGCTGGTCGAGGCAAATGGATCTTGAAGTGAGCTCTAGTATGGTGCGGTTCAGTCAAACCCATGCCTCGGGTGCGCATACCACGAATGAACACAGTTTTTGCAAGATCTGTTCCATGTTTAGTATGGTGCTTTCCGCTTCATCCTTTTTGATCAACCTTGTTTGCAATGTTGATGCCGATGGAATGGGGGACTCGGCATTGGAACCTTGATGTGTTGAGCTCACACGTGTTCAATCGTGTGCTTTCGACTAAGAGTTCAGCCATCATCCATGTACGCTCGCGGATCCTTTATTGACTTTGCAAACAGAAAGGCTATGGAATCCTATACCTCTGGAGGGTGGTGTTTACTTTCCCCAACAAACAAGAACATCTCTCATCTAAGACCCGCACCCAAAGCTCGCTCCAAACAGTGTGCTCCCCACCGACCGGGTCATCACACCGCACGCCACATTGACCGGGAGCGCCGCTCGGTGGCCCAGAGAGACATCACCGTCTATCCCACCTTGCGCTTTGGACTCGTCATCAAGCCCGGAGCGCCCAGCGACCGCGCCCGATCCGCGCCCGATGAAGACCGGCGTCCGGTCGTCGGTGGGCTTCGGGTGAACCGGGGTTTGGGAGCGCTTTTCGGGACGGGACGCGCGCCGAGCACCTGGTTCGCCTGGAGCGAGACTGAGGGGCCTCGGTCTTGGGTGGAAAGAGGTGGCACAGTCGCGTGACTGATAGGGATGAATTCATAGAAAGCTGTCGAGTTGTTAAGATGTCGTAGACTTGTCCCTTGTCAGACAAGGATGATGTTGATATCTTTTGATTACTTATGAATGTATCCATTGGTTGGGAGGCAGAAAAAGAAACACAGTCCGAATGAACATTTATCGCCCCTGTTTCACCACTCTTCTTGGAGTGCGGGAAGATAGACAAATCATGACAAACTCATTATGTGACTATTGCAGGATCTTTTCTACATGTTTGATGCTGTTTGCATGGCACCATGACCATGATTGTTCGATGAAATGATTCAAGGAATCTCACCTTACCAAGCTTGGACTCCAACTAGGTGGCAGATCTGTAGACTGTAGTATATAACAAAGGGCATCGCTATTAGTAACAAGTGCATCGCTACTAGTAGTAACAAGGGAATTACTACTAGTAACAAGAAGCTACGTGGTGTCCTTCTCTTGGACCATGGCCGACTCACATGTAGGGCCCACCAGTCTCTCCTGCCCTTGTCCCGGTCGTGCCGCACCAACCGCGCCCGTTCCCCAGTTGTGGTCACGACGGCGTGCTGAATAAAGCGCCGGACTCCGTGTCTGGCGGATGTTCGGTTTCTTCTGGCATGGTTGTTTCGGTGGGCGGAAGAGAGGCGGAGAACCTGGTTCACTGGTTAGGTTGACTGAATTTGATGCATGCTTGGGACGATTCGTAGGATCAAACACCTGAAACAAATATCCTGGAGTTTGCTCTGCCTCGTGCACAGCGAAGAAGTGCAGTTGGCTCGAGAGGGTGGCTTTCGGAGTTGTTGCCTGACTTTGGAGAGGAACCATGTGTCATCATGAATCATGTGTCTAGTCTATGAGTGACATCTTCTTGACACAGTGGATGCATGTCTGCGACGTTTGCGCAGCGAGCCGCCTAGCTTCGCTAACTGCGCTTCGGAGAACGCGGCGTCGCCAGACAAGCAACAGCGCGCGGTACAAGATCATCCGGTCCTCCTCGGAGAGCTTTAAGGCGCCTCCGCGTCGCGACCCCCGTTGCGCGACTTTTCGACCGTTCATGTCGTGGTGGAAACGGTCGAAGTGTGGAGAACGGCGCTGGGGGGGTTGAATTCTGGTGGAGAGGGGGGCGATCCAGTGTTGGAGTCTGATCGGCGAAACGATATGAGTCGATGGAATCATCGGGGATCGGTTGTTTGTGCATGTTGTAACCTCAGCTCTTGGGGGACAGACATATGTTATATAAGACTTTAAGAGACCATTTTGTGTTCGGGGAGTGTGTGACTGTGCCGGTGTCATGAATGAATGGTGTTGAACACTTGAAATTGCGATGCTTACCTAGCACATCCCACTCTATCTCGGCTCGGACCCATCAGTTACATGACATCATGCCTTGATTTGGAGATCATTTGGTGCCCAACAGCTTAAGTTTCGCGGCGATGAGGGGACCATTTTGGTGGTCAACCTGTCTCGGACCGTGCTGGAGTTCGTTTGTGATTGCTCAATCAATCCCACATGAATGATCATGCTGCATATAAGACAGCAACTCAGTTTGCTGGGTGTAGTCAAGGCCCACAGATGACTTGAACATGGACCATGTCTTGGTCTTCAAGATGCATCCTGCATCAAAACAACTTGCTAACTAGTAGGCATTGGTCCAATCAGCAGACGCAACGCACAGGACGACTATGTGACGTGAATCCCAAGCACTGCAGCAGAACCCTCAATCGTCACTCCGTCACGACCGCCTACGGCCAGCCCTACTACGATCCGGATGCGGGCTGTGCTCCTCTCAGAAAGCCGACCAGGGGATTTGGTGGAATCCACCAGAAGTTGAGTCGGTCACCAGTGGTTCCAAAGACCCTTTCTTGTTGAATCCACTGAGGTCGAGTAGTGAAAGTAGGCGAGTCATACTTCTGAACCTACCAGTACAACGCTGGGGGCAACCCTAAAAAGGTTGGTTTTAGGGTCTCAAGGGTTAAGAAACAGGAGAGATGCTATGGCTATGGCATGCTATGGCTCAAAACCTAAAAATATCTGCAGCTTTGAGTCCTTTTGTCCATTTGCCCGGGGGTAGTTGGTAGCCGGATGATCCTGATGTCATTTGTTCCGAGCTCTATTTTGACGGTGAGCAGTGCAATGACTCCACGCGAATACTAAATGGTACTTTGCTCCCCAGTCACATGGTCAAACTTTTTTGGGTGTGGCTTTAACTCTTGAAGAAGTCCGCCAATCGATCAGTGTTTGTTCCTACTTTGCAAAAAACAGCAACATGGATTTTCTGTAGGTGTGCCTTTGGAGTGCCCAGCTCTCAAGAGAAAAGGAGCACCCTAGACATATTGTAGATATATAATAATAGAGTCTCATGACACATTAGTAGATAATGAGTTTCATGACGTACATTATACTTTTTGTATATTGTTGTTCTTTTCTGTTCCTTTTTATACTCTGCTTTCGATGAACATGAACATCCTATTTCCTAGGTCTCAGTCTCAGTGATCTCATGTTTCAGGCCGCTTCCTGCCACAAGCCTCAACAGTCCGGGATGGAGCACAGGCGCGGGTCAGAGTCAGTCCGGCCTTGGGCACAATGGCCCGGTCAGAGCTGGTACAAGCTCAGTGTTCTTAGATCGTAGCTCTAGACCACTACACAAGCAACATCAAACATACTAGAGTTTTACTACATGATGGGTTACATCATGTTACATCATGTCATGTTATACTATTAACACATACAGTAATCGGATGACCAGGCAAAGGTGCACCCCAGTTGTTGGAATTGGAAGGAGCGTACCTACATTTCAATTGTCAAATTTTGTTCTTATTCTTGGGTGCTTAGGGCTTCTTATTCTTCAGTGAAGGGTGCAATGTGGGGTTTTGTGAGTGGTCGTTGACCACCGAGCTGGTCAATGTTCAGTACATCCACTGAATCTCATGTATATCAATATCGATTCAACCCGTACATGTTAGATTTCATACAACCTCTTCTATCACAGATTCTTGCTGCAAATATGTCACTCCAATAATCAAGGCATTCCTGGTGAAAATGGACAATTGCACATGGTTTCTTTATGCATGGGTGCTCACAAAAGGTGCTTTTGGAGGCTTTTGGTGGAAACCTACAGTTGAACTCGTCATGTTTACTCTATGTCTACAAAGCGTTGTTCTTGTGATGATCATTGCATATCATCGCATTGTCATACCATCCACTGTTTGGAATGTGTTTGGATGCCCCTGGCAGCCGAGCTTGATTCCTCAGGGGTTCAAAATTCAGTGGCATGCTTGTTGATAGTTGTGATAGTTGTCAGAAGCCCGCCTGCCAGACCCAATTCCTCTACGAAGCAATATAGAAGCCAATTGCCCACCAAAGCCAAGCCATTTGGGTCCTCAGCTTTTGCCCATTCTTGCCCTGAAACCGAGCGAAAGCCACACGCAACAATGCTCTTCCCGAGCATTTTCCATGTTGAAGTCATCAGCTCTTCGGTCATTCGGGTTGAACACCAGGAGACCCAGTCAGATAGACCCAACAAGAATGGGCTGCCAGCAAAAGAACAGCATGCCAGTTGGATCGGTTCACCTTCCTTGGGCGTAAACCATCTTCGTTCACCTTGCTTGAGCCAACTCCACCATCACTTCGCCATCGACTCGCCATCTCCGGAGGTGCTCGGAGGCCATTTGGGCCCCTTGAATTGCGAGGGACCCTCGACCTGCCGGGGCGCCCGGCGGTGGTGGCAGACTGGATGCAGAAGATGGTCGTGATGGTGATGAAAGATGCTTCCACTCAATATCCAGATCAACAGAGCTTCAACTGAACGAGATCCAAATCAGTGCTAGGCCCAGGCTGACTACTTCTCCACCTGAGGCTACGACACACCGGAGGAGGTGATGGGTGGCAAGGCACCCACCTTCCTGGACGCTTGGGGCACCCAGCCGGGCGCTTCATGTCGGACCTGGTGGCAGCTCACAGTCTGAGATTTCGGGTTGAAATGGCACGGATCTGGAATCTGGGTCTTGTTGTTATAAGGAATAACCGATGACCAACCTTTTCGAACTCATGAGTTAATGTCAAAATTCTTTGGGATCTTGCATCTACCTTAGTGGTTATGACTTATATGCATGTGGTTACCTTACCTCAAAAACATGGCAATCATTTGGCCTGATGAGCCAACTCAATTTGATTGAAGGTGCTAAGAACTTGGGGTGGTCTCCACTAAAAGCAATATGTCGCCCCTTTTTCCCTTCCAACCTCTTTTGTGCCAATCCCCAAGTTGGTCGAGACACATAAACATACACAGACATAGACACACTCTTAGGGTTTGCTTGGAACACACCATTTGGTCCCCCCCAAACAAGGGAGAACATCGAGTGGTTAATAGATGCTCTTGATCGGCCAATCGATCTTGATCCTGCAAGTTGATCCCAAAATCTTTCAGGGCCGGACTCTCCCAGGTGTTTCTGAACCACTTCAAGGAGGTAAACGGGAGTAACACGAGCGACATGTGGTTCATGAACCAAGATTTGTGTTAGCTTCCCTGTTCGGATCATCGGACCTCGGCCAGAGTATTGTTGGAGTGAAGTCCTTATCAAGTGGTGCGTGTGATTTGCCGTTCCTGCCCAGATGGGGCTGGGAGTTGATCCTGTCTACTGCCTACCCATCAAAGCCTGATCCGTTCAAACAGGTCCAAGTGGATGCCAGCTACGAGAATCGGGTGATGATTGCAGCCACCTATGACATTTGCTACTGCGATGAGAACTGCCTCAATAGCGTTTACTGGTTCAAGGCCGCCGTCGTGTTCATGTGTGTGGGCATGAGAATGAGAGAGGGGGAGAGAGAGAGAGAGAGATATAGAGAGAGATGATGATGGAACGAACAGGTTGAGAGAGATGCGGAAATTGAACCCTACTCATCCCTTCTTGCCCAAAAGAGTAAATTATCCTACGTATAGGTTCTACTTCAACTCAATTTGAAGGGATCATCAGTACACCATCTCGTTGGCTCACTCATGTTCCATCTCCGACTGAGTCTTGTTTGCTTATGGCATCTTATGTCGGAAACTGCAGTCTGGGGTTGGGAGTCCTGTTCTCCCACATTGCGTTAAAAGCAGGGGGATTTGAAACCTTTTGGTCCAGAGAGTTAAAATAACACTAGTTGCACAAGACATCAGACAATCTGAGACCCACATGTTGGAAGAGAAATGGGACAACTATGATTCCATTCTACATATATTTCCTCGAATTTTGTGACTGAGGTTCCTATTTCTTGTAGCCACTGGGCAAGATCACCTAGTATTCAGTAGTAACCCTCCGCAATCCCGCAGATGTTTTTTTGATGTTTTTCGTGATGTACCAGAAGACAAAGAGGGTTCCAGTGAGATTTCAAATGAATTCACCTTTCTAACATCCCTTTGGGTCACATACATTCCAGATTCAGCAGTTTATCCATGTGTTTGAACTTTCACGCCTCCTGGGGGGATGTGACTGCTTGCTTCTTATCCATGTTTGATTAAAAGTAGAAAAAGGGTCTCTGAATGTCTCTGACTTGACTTAGAATTTCTGCACAGTTCGCCTGGTTGGTGCAAGTCTGGTCTCCTCCAGGCCGGGACCTTGGATGTGGAGCCTGTGGTGACCCGCTTCACCACGGTTTGGGGTTCCCAGCGGAGAAGCCATGGTTTTCGCGACTGGAGCGGGTGGTCTGGTTTATGACCTGGAGTCTCCAAGTGTGCAAAGTGGGTACACGTCTTTGCCTTGGGTCGTGTCATTTCATAATTTCATATTTCATTCTTGGTGGACTTTGGAGAGTCCAGGTAGTTCCAATGTGGGTTTGGAAGGGGTCCATTTGTCTCGATATGCTTCGTTGTGTGGCCCAAACTGATGTCAGTGTAAACCTGCATCTGGCTTTGGCAGCCACTAGCCACCACCACAGCTACCACCACAACCACAGCAACATGGACAACCGAACAACTGTGCTCTTGGAGACTCGTATCGAACAAATCCAGTTTTTGATTGTCAGGTTGGATTTGATTCATCAGCTCATGAAATGCCTTTTTCCCGCAGCTCAAGCTGATCAAGTCTATGATTGCCGCCGGACCTTCCTGATTCCACCAGACCCTTGTGGCCATGTTCCGTCGGCAGTTGGCCCAGGAGACCGCCGAGTCCGAGGCAGCCTACCGCGCTGAGACGGAAAGGATGGCGAGAGGCTTTGTGGCCGCCAAGATGGAGGATTTCATGCAGAAATGCCATGAGGCAGCACGGAAGCGGAAGACGTTTATCCGTGTCGAGTATCAGATCGACGATGTCCTGTTTCGTCGGGATGAGGCTAGCTGCCGAGAGCTTGTGTTGGAGATGTTCAAGGGACCCATGGCCGAGCTGGGATTTCCTGACGGAGCACGACCACATCCAGATTCCAGGTCCAGATATCGAGTCTTGTTTTTTTTTGGAGGGCAAGTGGGATGGAGAAGACGTGGCAGCTTGCAGTGAGCCAACCGTTGTGCCTGCGCCTGCAGGCACCCGGATCACCTGCCCCATTTGCCACGAGCATCGTCCCGCCGTGGCCTTGATCCCTTGCGGCCATGTGATTTGCCGTGACTGCCAGAGATGCCAGCAGATCCGCCAGTGCCCGATGTGTCGTGAAGCAACATCTTCGGCGACACGAGGGCTCTTCATGGACTGAGGCCGAGGAGGAGGGAAGATGCCTTTGCATTTGGAGCTGTGTCAGCATGTTGGAAGGGCATTGGGGGAGTTAGCCATCCTTTGCATCTGACAAATGCCCAAAGAGCAGAGGTTGATTGATCAGAATGATGATGTAAAATTCTTTGTTGCCGGTGGGGAATCTTGAGAGCTGGACGACAATTTGACTTGGTCGCTTCTTCCAGGAGACCTGCAAGAAGCTGCATGAATGAGTATCACATCACATCCCTACATACTTTAAGTGCTAGGTGCTAGGTTCTCCACTTCAATGAAAGAACAGCAGATGGCCAAGGAAGGTGTTTCCCTTTATTTGTTGGATTCGATAGATTCAGGTTGCCGTTGCTTTTGTGCAGGAGAATCCTAGTTCAAAGTCAGAACGTCTCCCTCGGAGGAACTCTGACATGTCAACTCACACAAAGGCCTGATGCTGGAGTCTTTCTCTGGCTATCACACAGGCACTCCCAAGATCAATTCATTGGTGTCCACAAGAGGCATTGCATGAAAATGCAAGAAACCATAGCAGAGAAGCAACGTGAAAGCAAGAAATGCGTTTGTACTGAGATGTAGCTTGAGGAGTGGATGATGTTCACCTTGTTTCATCTAACAACAACATCGCAGCAACAAACTCGCCACGCATTTGGACATTCTATGTTCTCCGGCTGTTTATACATTGGTCCTTTGAGCTGGTATGAGGAACCAGAAGACTTCAATTCATCAATGGAAACTCAACACCACCGACACCCCAAAATCCGAGTGAGCACCGCAACTAGCAGTTGCACAAACTCATCCATTCAAGCATTCCACAGGAATTTGTTTAGGGTATCTTTGGGTGGCATGCTGGCATGCTGTGTCTTTGTTGATGATGTTGATGTCATTGGGGTAAAGTCTCGTGGAGTCTTTCGCCAGCGGCTGCTGCTACCGAAGCTTTGTTTCGAGCCCAGGACTACACCACCGGATCCTACGGTGAGAACCCGGCCATCGTCAACACAGGCGCTCCACCGATCAACCACCGCGCTGGCCGACGTCGGGGACGGTCGTTTGGCTGTTGTTTGGGCCCTGGAAGGTGGAGGGATGGAGTATGGGAAGCAAGTGGTTGTCATAGCAAGCCAGAGTGTTCATTGCAGAAACTTTTCATCAATGACACAACAAGGCGTTGGGCCTGTGTAAAACAAAGGCAGGCACTGCCACAGTGGTGTGAGAGGAGGAGTGTCCTCTACCTCAAGTTATTTTTGTTCTGTTCTGTTAGCTTAACCGCTGTACGGTACTAACACCTGGCAATTATGTTCAACAAGAAGTGACGTTTTTGTCCCACGTCTTGGTTCAAAGAGGTGAACAGTGAATGGATGCTTCCAAGTTGCCAGCATGTTCAATGTGTGGAACTGATCGCGAACACAAGCTGTTTTCGCTCTTAGGCCTCTGAAGTACCCCTTGGTTCGACCAGGATGTTCTCTAATCCATGAGGCTAGGAACGAGCACTTCTTGAAGTCTAGCGTTTGTAAACCGTCAGGACGATTGCTGGTGTTCCTGGGCTTTGGTACCGACTTCTCGCCAGTGCAAGGCAGTTTGGAGCTCAGCCTGCTGACCTCTCAAAGTGATTCATGAAAGCAGAGGATCATGCAGAAATCCACGTGTCATGTGTCGTTCCGTCAGTTCTTGATGCCTTTCGGGATCAAAGACAAAGCTAAAAGGCAAGGTCTCGAGTCTTGAGGTTGGACATTTTCCGAGCACTCCATCACTGCTGTTTCGGCCCGTATCTCCGCATGCCCAACACGACGGCCCCTTTCTGTGCTCTTTTTGGGGGCTGAGGTTGGACGGGTGGTGTCGAGACGAAGAACCGGGAGATGAAGCTGCTGCGGGATGATGTAGGGCTGCTCAGAGTGGAGTCAGCTTTTCCTCAGTGGCACGACCTGGGTCCAAAAATGGCTGGGCTGACCTGTTTTTGATGTTGTGGCAGTTGTAGCATGTTGTGGCTGCTTGCAAGCGAAGAAGAAACCAAGATGATGAAAGACATGGACGAAATGGTCCCAAAAGGTCCCACATGGTCCCATGACACCGTTTTTGGACAGAGAGGCACACTCCTGATTGACCTCATTGACCTCGCAGGCCAGATCAGTATGTGCAAATAGTGTTTCCCAAGACTAAGAACCTATCGGCTCTAGAACTCTGATCCATTCCAACCTGGACTCCATCATATTCAATGACACCACCATGGCCATGCCACCGGGCAGCCACCAGCTCCACGCGGCCCCAGGATGGCAACGTGGACAAAGAATCCTGCTTGAACACCCCGCAGCCCTTGGGCATCTCCGGACACCGCCTGGTTTGGGATCCCAGTCGCATTGTGGGATGATGAAATCCTGGAGCACCTGGAAGAGGGGAACATTGGAACATCCAGGGTTTTTACAGAGTTTTTTTATCAGGAAGTCTCACATCAATAGTAATTTGTTGATAGGTTGAAGGGTTTCGATGTTGGCATATCATATCATGGTTTTTGACATGTTTTGACATGTCTTGACTGAATCTTGTGGCTTCCCTTCATGAAGCAGGTAACTCTGAGTGATTTCCTGGGATATTCTCAGAACTGCGATGAACCAAGGTGACCATAGCTGGTAGTAGTTGAGTGCCTGTAGCGGAACCAACAATGGGCAATCACAAGTATCGGTATCGGTCTCCTGTTAAAGGTGTGACATTTCCCAGGCAACTGTTTAGACATGTTAAACCTGCAAGCAATGATGCAGCAACTGGCAGCAACCATTGAGGCAATGTATTTTATAGGTTGGATTCACTGGCATTCTATAGAAGGCACCAGCGAATTAAATTCGGTGGTTTCAACAGGTGCCAATCACATTCCTGTTTCATTGGCCGCTTCATGAGGGTGTGACCTGTGATGCGGAGTCCAGACTTCACTCATCCATTATCGGGTAAAGATCACGCTGCAGTCGTGGTGCAGGTCAGTGGCAATACGGACTACACCGAGCCACAGACCATTTTAGAGGCCCACGGGAGCGCAGACCATGGTTCCACTGAGTCCGGTCAACCGCTGGCAAGCTCTGGACGTCCTGGGAGGTTGACAGGGTTGTTCGCTGCCACACTCGGTCGCTGTGTTATTGATTTTGAGGTCTCGGTGTCTTTACCATTAGCGACGCTTTGTGGCATTGTCCCAAGGCATGTCCTGAGCCTAGTGGATCCTAAAAAAGTCATATCCATATTACCCTTGCCTTGGAGGGAAGCAAGAATGGCCCAATGAGAGATCAGACATTGCAGAAAATCAAAAACCAGCCACGGCACTGTGCACAGGCCGAGGATCCAGGACGGCCCCGAGGGCAGCTCTATGGATTGGTGTGCAACAACGCGGCACCTCGGCTACGCCCATGTTTTCGAAAAAGGATGCCTTTTGGACACCTCCCACATCTTTTTTTGCTTTTGCTGGATTTTTGTTCTTGTTTGATGTTTGACCGCAAATTCGTCCAAGATACCAAACAACGATCACCCTGAGCATCCAAGATTTCATAGTGAATGGGCATGTGTCGGGGGTCGAGTGAGTGGCATAGACGGGTGTCGATGGCAGCCCCCCAAACCCCTAGACTTTGGTAGATGGGATGAGTATTGTGGCAAATTCCCACAAGGACCTGAGTGACAACAATTGGCTGGTAGTTGGACAAAGGTTGATCCAGGGATCGCAGATGATTGCAGAGTTTCCTTTTGAGGATGAGCAAAGACGATATTAAAGTGGAGAGACATTGTGCTGGTGCTTGCCAGGGAGTCAGGTTCCAGGTGAGTGTCCAGAATAGCATCTTTGCACAACCCTGACATAGGATCGAACTCGCATGATGATACTATTCACAGAAGAGAAATGAGCCTAACCGTTTCTACCCTTGGCTGGGGTGATCCCTTTGGGCCGTCCATGTTTGCTTCTCCACACCCGTTGAACCCCAACGGAGAGCTCGCCTCCAGCGCACGCGCCGTTATCCGGACCTGGCGAAAAGGTCCCCACGCCGGACTGTGCGGCCAACATCCGGATCTCGGTGTGGGGAGGCTCAAAGGCTCAAAGTGAATGGGACCTTGATGCGCAGCACAATACTGTAATTGGGTTCCAGCAACTGGGTGTGTCTCAGCATGGGAATTTGTACTCGAAGTCACTGGAGGCACACTGATTTCCCTTCAATCATGTCTCAAGAAAACCTGATCCCGGTGATAAGTAACTGGATCATCGGATCATCTCCATGCGCGGAGAGCCACGAAGACAGTAGTCACATGAGGCCATGGTGGCCTGGTGCAAGTGCTATTCACTGCCGATGGAGTTAACAAAGCATGGGCTCTAACTAGCAAGAAGGTCAAGCCGGCTTTTGCCAGGCATTTTTCCACAAGGGCTTGGAGTTGTACAAGACTGTATAAAGTTTACACCGTAAAGGTCGAAATCGGTCCTCGTTAGAAGGACTGCCAGCTTTAAGAAGCTCAGCTCTTCATCAAGTTCAAAACAACTTGGCGCCCTCAGCGTTTGGATACGGTTTTTATTCTTTCTGAGACCAGGTTTGAAGTGCCTGCGGTCACAGACTTTAGAATATCCAGATAGTCAACAAATACCTGCATTGAACTTCCCGCCCCAGCAAGAGCCAACTCCGCCACCCATAACCACTGGCCATACCAGCTGTGGCCATACCTGGTGGATTTGAAGTAATTAGTGCAAAGCTACGGTAGGCACCATTGGTACTCCTTGCTGGAGTAGATGTCGAATACAAAGTTCAATCATTGAACATGTTGGATTATTTTGCCATATATAATCTATTTCCCCGCAATGTAGACTGTAACATGTCTTTTGTTCCACCAGGTCACCATCGACCTTTCAGAGAACCATGGGCAAGCCGGTCCTTTTCCAGAAGAACAGAAACGAGTCTTTGGACTCCCTTCATGTGACATGATTATGTGACATGAGAAGCACCAACCGCACGGTGCCTGCCCTGAGGCCTGGGTGGTATGCTGCTTGCTACTGCGACTCCAATTGTCCCTGCTCCTAGCGGAACCAATCGCACTCAGTGGCCGGACCCGCAGTCCAAGCTTCATGGGGAGTCCAGCAGGATTTTGTGTGTGCCGTGCGCGTTTGTATTTAGTATCACTGCTACTTGAAAGTCCATAATTAGTTGTAACATGTTGTACCTATAGTCCTATAGTCGCTATAGTGTTATACCGTGATTTGTCGCATCAAAGAAACAGATAGTCTTACTCTACATTGCTTGCAGGGTTGTTGAGGTTCCAGGCTTCTTCGTGTTGATGGGTCGCTGGCACAGCAAGACTCTCCCCGGTCGCATGTGACTAGGTCCGACTAGGTCGCCACGATATCCGCTGATTGAGCGACATGGGGAGCTAGTCTACACAGCTTCTGGCGATATCAGCATGTGGGATTCTGCAGGTGTAGCTTGACACCCCTGAAAAAAGTTCCCTGGGATCCAGGTTTCACCTGTGAAACACACACAAACAGCAGCACCAATCGCATCTCATCGCACCATTGGACCAAGGCACCGAGGTGAGCAATTGGGCGGTCTTCGGCCGCCCGGAATCCCAGCCTCTCTCGGTTAGTCCAGCGACGGGCGTTGCCGTGCCCCGTGCGCCGTACGCGCTGCGTGGGTCCGTGGGACTGGTGTCACGTCCTGTGGGGTATCGCGGATGGGTATAGAGTATAGAGGCCTCCTTGGCTGGTGACTTGGAAGTTCCAGTTGCAACTCCAATGATTGGTTGAGTCACTGCAGAAAATCAAGATAGACTAGAGCATGGGTTGAAGAGCCTAACAAACCCTGATACGTCTTCATTGTAAAGGGATTTAAAGGGTACATTTTCGGACAGATGGATTCCATGGATGGACAAATTTGTTACCGGCTACCAGCACCCTTGACTTTCAAACCGTCTCCAGACTCCTGTAAGATTGCCCTTATAATCCAACCCTTGGCGTAGCCCGATGAGCTCGGCTGTCAAACAGCCCAACGGCCGTGGGAGGGTGACCGTGTGACCAGCCGCTATCATCCTCTGTCCGATCCCGCAGTTTGGGTTCACGTTCGGTCATGTCACAGAAAAGACCAACTGTTTCGAAGGCCACAGGATGACATTTGGACTGTCTCCAATGTGACAGAACATACTGATCTTTGGACCAATTATTGGACCTCAGGGTCCATTGGCAATTTCTCTCCTGTTCCTTGCGGGAAAGTCGGTGATTGCGAAACAGCCTCGACCATGCTCCGCTTCGACCGCCCAAGGCCAAATCGTGGCGGGACCGACCGCTCGACAAAGTTGGACGAGGCCGAGCAACTCCGAAGTCAACCTCGATGTGTCTTTCAATGCTGTAGGTGGAAGCATCCTGCATCACCTTCAAACACCTACAGGGTCTAAATATCACTAATTATAGATTTTCCCAGCATGCAAACAAACTCAGTGTGATGAAACAACCTGCCCGACCCATGTTCTTTGAAGCTTGAGCTGAGCGCCCTTGCACTCCAAAACGCTTTCCAAAACGCTCCACTCAGCTTTCCAAATGGCACAGCGCAACTGGCCGCTGCACTCACCGAGGTACACGGGCGTCACCTTCAGCATCGACGTTGAGGGCTACGACCTGCAAGAAACCAACCGGGCCAGGGCCTCAACCCAAGGGTGGCTTCGATGGGTAGATATGTAGATGGTGGTTGAAAATGCGATACACGCCGACAATACACCATGTGGATCCATGTAGCATCAGTTGGTATGGTTTAGTTTGGGCAGTTTTTTTGGTTTGCAGGTCAGGTGTTTGCAGATGTCCTGAATATCCTGAACTGACCGTGAATTGTGTATGTGATCTCACTTTGATGGCTTCAGAGTATACAGCACAACCATGTACAACCTCCCCAAAAAAAAGATGGCCCATGTATGCCCATGTTATGATTAGAATAGTATTCTTTTGGAATAAAACCCATCCAACACCATGTGTTCATTTGGGTCAGTCTATATCATTCCCATACACTTCATGTATGGCATGTTATACCCCTTTTCAACCACCTGCAATGTATGCAGCCTATTCCATACATAGAGTGTTTTGGAATGTTTTGGAGGACCGTTTCTTCGATCTCGTTCCTGCCATCAATCTTCTCCCATCGGAACCCCTCCGTTGGGGCCGAAGGTTAGATCCGGGGAAACAGAGCCCTTCCAGCATCCCAAAAGGCAGATCCATCACTTCATTGGCATAACGTAGATGCCCAAATTGGAACAAGACCTGTTTTCTGCCCAAAGGCAGATCCACGACAGCAATCGTTGGCTGAACAGTTCCCATGATCGTCGTAAAGCAATGAGTGGCATGAAGAACTGTTTTGGCACCAAAGAAGTCCAACAGCATTTTGCGGTTTCTAAAGAAAGCTTTCCTCTCATCCCCCAGTTCAATTGGTCCTCAGACCAAACCGGAAGGGAATTCTCACTGTTCCACTCCAAGACCCGGATCCCAAGGCTTTGATCCTGAACACGGCTCAACAGCGGGGGACCTCGTGAACCCAACTCGTTGCGGCAACATGCGTCCGCGCCAATAGGAGCAGGGGGTCGGTCAACCGAACCTGAGTCCGAGATCGGACTGGTTAGGTCGTATAGAAATCAAAGAGAGGTCAACATGTTTTAGGATGTGAGCTTTTTGGATTCTTTTATACAAGATTATACAAGACCATCAAGACCATTATAGGAATATATGATGAAATATGGTGTTCTGTCAAATGATTCTCCAGATCGGCGTTAGAAGAATCCACGTGAGTCCCTCACATCGCTCCACTCAAATAGCATCCGCCGGAACTGGTCTGTGACAATGCGGCAACCAGCAGTTGAAATCAAGTATGAACAAGCCACCCAAGTGAAAGTTTGTGGAACTAAATATATACTGTTATATACATATATATATATACCAACACTTGGCAGGTGGGTTAAACCAAGGACTGCGCGGCCCTGGTTCTAGGAACAAAGAAGGCCAATGGTGTTATGTATTATGTTCTTTTATGTCCGAACATCAAGAGTGTACAGTTATAGTATATCCATCAATGGTTGCTGCTTCAACTCAACTTCGGTTCAGCCAATCCATACCTGAATGAAAACAAAAAAAGCTCCTTTGCAGCGGCAAACGCTCACCAAACCCACCAAACTGAAAGGAACGCATATACCGTTTGTTTCGATGACATGATGCGTTCCTGCAAGGCTGCAAGATTGTGGGAACCTGGGCCCTACGAACAATGCCAACGGCCCGGCCTGGAGCCTAAGAGATGGGCATTGGGCTAGATCTTGCCTGTCCGTCGCCATGCCTGGAGGTCAGCAAGTCTCCCTGTCAATGTAGTAGTTAGTAAGTGAGGTTCAAAGACTTTAGACCTGCACATGGGTGTTAGTACTTGTGTGTTTGTGTGCAGTGTGCGACCAATCAGGGAAATAGCCTTCAATTGCCCGGAGCTCCTGATATTTGGGTGCCGTGGACTGGATTTCTTTTTTGACCAGATCCCTGAAGTACCAATCCTTGTTGAGACTGAGCAAGCAGCTTTGACTGTTTGGAATCAACATAAAAATGCCAACTCACAAACCTTCAGAGATTTCTCCCATTCAAACCAGGGTGTGCGAGTGTGGAGTAGAGACTTCCGAGCCCCGTTTGTGGGCGGTTCATGATGGTCTATCACAGTGATCATGATGCAACCCATTGCTTGCACAAGTTGCGCTGTATTTTGTGCTCAGTCGAGATTGAAGGCAAGTCATTGCTCAGGGGCACGCTTGTTTCAGAAAGAAATCAAAAAAACACACAACCTGCAGACCTCCACAGCATAAGCGTAAAGCACACTGGAAAAGTCACTTGCACAAGTGGCATGCGACACCATTGACACCATCAGCTGACTATAATTCAATCCTGTTGCGGTAGATGGCCTGTGGTCCACCAGAGGGGACAATGATGTATGTTATAAATCACGTGCCCCTCAATTCCCTCCAACTTTTTGCCTGCATATTCCCACAAAACTCTTGATCTTGACACTTCAATGAACCCCCAACCCCCTGGTGTCACAGTGTTATGTCTTCCAGCCCATTTTCAATTCTCCAAACGGGGGGTCCGTCATCTCCGTCGGGCGAACGCGCGCGACACCTCCGAGATTGGCACAGCGATCCTCCACACCCGCGACACCTCTGGGGCACGGCTCACCGACATGGCAGCTCGGCGGGGGGGAGGAGGAGAGGAGTGACCATCGAGCGTGTCATGAGTGGTGGGCAATTTTTTGATATTTCGAGTGCGGTGTGTGGTCAGCAAGGGTGGGGATGTCTTCAGTTGGACACTCAGGGATAGACCACATAGATCCACATAGCACAAGTTGATCAGGACTTTTGAGATAAGTGCGTGTTGATCGTTTTTCAGTTTAGGATGGTTTTGGGGCATCGTTGAACCACTGCGTTTGGGCCATTGGTTTCCGCTTGTCAAAGCATCAGATGTTGTTGGCCAAAGTGTCGTCTGTACATGGGGTTGGTATGTCTTGTTTGAGAGTGAAGGAGTCTGCAGAGAGTCTACAAATCATAGAATGCTGGTATAATTAACATAGCTATATAATGCTGTACATATACAGGTATGATGGCCAGTTTTAATTTGCCTTGTGTACTTTGGTCTCAATAGGAACCATCATCGAATCATCATTCGTTTGGATCGCTTGGTTGGCCTGAAATCAGAGAACTTGGTGAATATGAAAGGTCAATGCCCTGGACCTGACCGGCTAGGACTGGTAAACATCAATGGTATTTGATGTTTCTGTTGTCAGTCTTGGGGCTGAGGCACTAACAGGTCCAACCTTTGGATATACGACTTGAATCTTGACTTGAATCGTTTCTTGAGTTCTTCGGCGTCCTTCGGTCTGGTTTTCTGAGGTTTGGTCGAGTATGGGCACGGAGATCTCCTTCGACAGGAGCCCGCGCAAGCTGCAATTGGTAGGGTCCGGAGCGATGAGCCAAGCATGGTGAGGTGCTGATTTGAAGGTGGGACACCAAACATGTGGGCCAAAACTCGTTCTCAAACAGAACAGCTGGGAAAGTGTTTTTTGAGGTTATGTTGTTTTCCGAGAAGAGGGGATGGAAGGTTCATGAAGGAAGCGAAATATGAAGAACCATAGAACCCTGCCTCACCGCATGGACCGCTCCGCAGGAGCCATGGCCTCAAAGACGGAGATCGAGTGAGGATGACAGGAGCCGACTCGGAGTCAGGATCAACTTGTAGAAAGGTGCATCACTATTAGTAACAAGTGCATTACTACTAGTAACAAGTGGCTACTAGTAGCTATTTGTTAGTAGTAATGCACTTGTTACTAGTAGCGATGAACTTCTTTACTCATCATCCGCTGAGTCGAACCGGGGTTGGATCGCAAAGGACACCCAATGGGGCTCCCGGTTTGAGGTCCAGGCTGTGTGTTTGCTCATATTTGCTCCGTTTCTGTGTGCTTGGAGAGGCTTTGAGCGAACGTCCGATTAGATGTTGGAGCCCTTGGCTGATACTCTTTATTTTGAACCTTACAGATATGACATGGGGCTCCAAACGTGACCCAAATGAGAGTGCAGGCGTGAGTATGTTCTTTGATCACGGGCCGTAAAAGATGGTACACCAATTGCGGAGCCATAGCCACATGTACGTGCAAGATCATTCATTGCCGGCTGCAACGAAGTGGAAAGCTCGGCTCTGAACTTCACTTCGCTTTGTGAGGAGTGAACGTTGATCCCACCGACAACACGCCTGCTGCTTCAGCGCTAGTGCCACTCCCGGAAGACACTCCCCGGGACCACATGTTTAGACCAAAAACAGCATGTCGTATAGAAGAAACATGAACAAACTACCTCCCAACTGATCGGAAGCGCATGCCAGTTCCCTGGATTGATACGGTCTTTGCGCTCCCGAGGCCTTGAAACGGATCGAGATGTTCAACACCGTCCACGAGGCGCGGCGAGAAGGATATCGGATGCTGATGCTCTCTCGGCACCACGGAGGTGGACCGAAGCCAAGAAAAACAGACGAAGAACATACACAGTTCTCAGTTCTTAGTCAAGAAAACATATAAGCCAAGAACAACATATATATAGGAAAACCATATAAGCAAGCTCAGATTTTCGTTATGTGTTTCTTTGTGTTTATCTCAGTTTTCAGCTATCAAACTTCAGGGGCCCATGCCCAGCCGGAGAAGTTGAAGTGGGTGTTTGTAATTCAATAGAGACACCTCCAACCCATGGCCAATGGGTTTTGGTCTTTTTTTCCGTCTTCCAGGGGATCTTTGGGAGGTCTCTTTATATACACCCAAGTAGAGTAATGGATAGTCCAATTCAGCCAGGCACCTTTCCTCATTTTGGATGACTCTGCGCGAACAGGTCTTCGTCTCCTGTGACGACGACGCCACGAGCTGCAGCTCAGCAGCAGTCGGTGTGACATGGCCGCCGTGGAGAACGGGATACAACTGATACAACATGATACAATTCAATGATTCTGAAAAAAGGTGCCACCTGTAAAATAACAAAAATGGGAGGCACTATGAAACTATGAGGCACTGGAAGAAAGTAGAACACAAGACATGTTGAAACACACACCCTTTGCAAGACTCACCTCCGAATTTACCATGCAGTGGTTCTTGAACCAAGAGGTGTAGAGGGTCATGGATTGGATTAGGATCACGGATCCATAGTCATATCGATTGAGCTGTTTGCCTACATCATCTTACATCCCAGACTACAGGATCGTTGTTGAACTGAGCAATCAACAACAATCATCCTGTAACAATTGATGCCAAAGTTCAGAAACGTTCCTGAGCACCAAGCCAGCTTTTTGGTGCATGCAAGGAGCATGTGGCCGGTGGGTCAAGTTCGGTCTGAGAAACAATTGAGACAAACCATGAAACAGTCCATGCCCAAGTATTCAGCAAAAGTAGGATCCAGCAAAACCATGGAACGCCCTTTAGGAGGAACAACAACCAGGCGCTTTGAAAGTGGGATTTGCCCCGCTGGGAGGGGTCCTGTTCCAAAGAGGTCCACCGCGGCAACACCTTGCTCGGTGGGATCGGAAGAGGCTGGAAGATCCTCATTCCCGTGCGCTTCGCGGCGGCGGAGTTCCCCAATATCCCCAACATCCCCAGCGTGGGGTGCGGCTGCCCAGGTGGAGGGTGGTGGAAGGCTGTCAACAGTTGGCCTGGTGAGTTCTTTTTTGCGGTTGCAAAGTGACGAGACTTTGTTGTACTTGAGCTGTGCTGCGAGTTGAAAGGGTGGTGACGTTGCAATGGGGATTGTGGATGGTTCATCGTTTCCTTTTGTACAGTTTGCATTCATGTTGATAGTGTGGAGTTGGAAGGACACCATTTGGTTCCATGCAGCCAATTGGTTTACATATGTTTACATTATATATTATATAGTTGTACAAAGCTCGTACCAACATAGAGATCCCCAGGTATCAATGACGCAAGCCGCTCAACACTGTACTGTTGGTGGGTCAGTGGCAGAGATTGTAAAGATGTGGGATGGTGTGGGTGCCCTGTGTTATTTAAATCATCACGGGGCTCGATTCCTTATGTGGTTGAGAGCATCCCGTGGCCCATGGCCAGAGATGCTCCCTGAATCCCGTTCAAAGGGAGGAAGAGTCCCCAAATGTGTAATTTAATATAGACATATGTAGACTGTTGATGGAATATGCGCCTCTACCAGAATGGTCTTGCGCCTCCAGATGGGGTTCATCAATCAACAGTCTACATTACAACAGTTCTTGTCCAGGTAGTTAGTTGCCACAGGAAGAACGTATCATACCTGCCTGCGACAGGTGGATGTTTGAAACATTAACATGCATTGAGCGACACAGTTTCTTCAGCATGGCGTTTGCTTTGTAATTTGTTGGAATTCCTGAGGTGGTCGCAAACCTCCAAAGAGACCTTCCAGAACATCAAGGTGAGAGCGATGAAATACCTTCGTGAGACGACGGGACGTCGGTGAAAGGAGTCAGGAGTCTGGATTTGCTCAAGATCTGATCAATGGTATAGCGACCTGAAAGGTCTTTTCTTCCCCAACGAGTCCCAGTCAGATGCCGGGTGATGCAAACGGGTTTGGCCGCTGACCTTTAGAGTTTCCAAGGATTTGAAGGAATGTCGAGCTTGGATCATTTGATATCAGTGATGGTTGTAAATTGCAAGTGTAGTTGAATGAGTGGTCACCTTCATGATGATCGTTAGCCGTTAGTTGTTGTAAAGCATAACCATAGATATCCATAGATCATTTGGTGAAGATGAGTGGTAAGACCTTCCAACTAATAGTCTAATAGTATAGCCTTCTGCATCCCTGGTCAACCACTAGCTAAAGGGGGGTTTAAGCCCCAGTTCATACTCTTCTACTGTGCTAAAAAGGTCGTTTAAAACATTTGGGGACTGATGTCAAACACTGGTGCAAACGGACGTGACAGGCTTTTTTTCATCCGAGAGTCTCTCAGGTGTGAGAGAGAGGGCCAAATGGCGTCCCAACCTTTTGTCCTTCATATTTCAGTGAACATGTGCAAGCACGGCTTTTTCTTTGTTGGCTGGCTGGACGGCAGGAAAGGTGCATGGTCAGGTCTTGGAATCAATCCATCCAGACCCCTCCTTCATAGCTCATGCGCGTTTTTTGAAGGGCCCCTGCTATCAATACTGTGTTCTGAATTGGGAGAAGAACCACTCCTGTTACCTATAGGTGCGATCCCAGACTTCCTATTCTCAGGTCGAAGATGGGGCTGAATCACCCGAGGGACGGGGCTACATCGTGTGTTGGCCGCTTGGGATGCAGTGAGTGGGTCAGGTCACTGACCAGGAAATCGGATCACCAGACACCGGAACTGGATGAGTCCAAACCTGGAGCCCTGGTCCATGCTTGACCTCACAGGTCTGGTCAACCAAGGTCTCCTGGTATTCTTTTGAAACAGCTATCTCCATTTTCTACTGTCATCCTTTTCTGTTGATACCCCTTCAAACCCGGGGTACAACACCCCAGCATGGCTTGCATGGGGAGCGCAAGGTCTTGCGTGTCCGCAAGTCGTGTTTTCCAAGGTCTCCTGGTTTTGACCCACAGGCAAATGGTTTGGATCAATAGTAACAGGTTGTTTCTTTGTCCTCCCAAGTGAGTGACTGAGGTGCAGCGAATGTGGACTCGCTGACGCTGACTTCCAAAGTTATGTCGGGCAGGCCGCAACAAAGACACACAGGGAGCTTGGATGATCTTCGGAAACATGAAACACGTGATTGAAAGGTGTAGAAATGTGTAGAACTATGTTTGGGATTCACTTGCTTTGCATTGCTTTGCTGCCAGAAGAACTTGTTTCGGGATGTTTAGGGGTTTACCATGTTTGTTTCAACTTCGCCTCTGGGCAGACGGTATCAGCAGGGCCTTTGCAAGAGAGGACTTTTCAAAGGAATCTGCCTCGTTTCTGCTCAGTAAGCCAATCTGTTGCGCCCGTTCGTGCGAAGTTTTCGGACATGCCTAGAGACGTGAGTGGTCAAACGCTCCTAATTAAAGAGAAACCACCATCCAGGACCCAGGACCATTAAAGTGACCTGTTTGGAGTATCCAACTGACCCTTGGCAGGCCTAAGCGACCTCATCCTGGAACATGAAAAGGTCACTTTGAAGCTCCCGGATTTGGAATTTTTGGTCCTCTTACTCTTCATGAAAGAGCTCCACCACTTTGACATGGAAAATGGCACCAGGCTGGAAAGGGTGATGCCCAGGTGATGCCCAGGTGCTGCAGGAGTTCTTCAAGCGTAGGGTCCACCGCTTACCCCAAAGGAACCACGGGTGACCTGCGTCCTTTGGCGCCGTGCAGGCGGGTCAGATCACCGTGAAGCGCCCGTGGTGCCGACATGTTGCAGACCTGCAGACCCGTTTGCGGCTGTGACAGGGTGAAGCTTGGACACCTTTTGGGCACCAACAAGGTCATAGAACCATAAATTGATGGATCTGTGAAAGACTTCTTTGGCTGAAGATTGGATTTTTTTGGCTGTGATTTTCAGGTGACGGTGAAATTCTCATTGGTAGCCAGGCGTTGCAAAGGACCATTTGTGTAGAGGCAAGTGCTGGCAAAGTCGTTTGAACTATTATTCAGGGAAGGTTGCGCGCCTGGAAAACTGAAGTGACAAAGGGGAGCAGAAGAAACAAACACGAGCGCAGAAAAGAACAACACCAGAACATACCAGAAGCAACTTGGAACCATGACCTTCACAGCAGCAAAGTCATACACGCTTGAGGCCCCAGCTCCTTTCTTTGCCACTCCGCACTGTGACGGGACACAAGAATCCAGTGCCAGGAATGCCATGCCAGAGGCCTACTTGGGCCTCACTACTGTGATGCCTGTGGGGAAGCCTGTCATGTCATGTGTTCGTTTGGTCCCTTACCGCCCCCCAGCTGGGATGGGTAAACCTGTGAAACAATATGCTCTTCATGGTGCTCTGAAAAGAATTTGTTCTGTGTTTTCACCCACAACTATGCAATGCAACCCTCTTGGTACACCAACCCAGCTCTAGCCTGTGAAGTACTTTTGCCTTGCTCCATGGTGAAATCACCAAACCAACCAGCAGCTTCATGGAAGAAGTTCATCCAAACAATTACCCAATGCAGTACTGGAGCTTTGATGAACTTTGATGAACTTCAATCCCTTTTTAAACCCAAAACCAATCCAACCCACCTGTTCCCTTTGGAACTCCAACGCCCAAACAACTTCCCGGATTGATCCCTTGGATCTGTCCGGACCGTCACCGGCCTCGTCAGGATCAAACGCCCAACCAGGGCAATCCCGGTGGCCCGGTGGCGATCGCCTTCGTGCGCCCTGGCGGCGTCAACAGAGAGACAGACGACGAGACCGAAGAGACGCGACCAAAAACGGACCGCGACGCCCCACATGAGGTGGGTGGAAAGAATGGGGTGGAGGAATTTTGGGAGTTTGGGTGGTCTGCAAATTGGGTGGTAAATCTAGCAGGCCATATGTTGGTGCCACGATGGAGTGTTTGGCAATGGATTTGCGATCTAAAGCAGGGTTCCTAGCTGGTGCAGGAGCTTGTTTGTTAGCTTCATCACCCCAGCGGTGTGATTGTTTCTCCATGAAAGCCTTTTTGGTGGTTCCTTCTTCAAGGGACACCAACCATGACCTCTTCAAGAACGTTTGATTCCCAAATCAACACCTTATGATTGTCAATTTGGTTACGGCAATGTTTCTTGGATCATTGAATGACAAAGAAAGGACCTCAAAAGCTGATTGTTCTGGCAACCAACACTTTTGATGTGTTGGAAAAAGACTAGGTTGGGGACGTGGTGGGGAGTGGGGCAATGGAAAAGCATAATGCAAACATAACGATACATCCGCAGATGAAAATTAGTCTGCAACGTGCATTCCCGCAGGCCCCACACTTGACGTGAGCTCATGCTAACGTGCGAGGTCGTGCGATATATTATAATATATATTTATTTATATATTATATAATATATATTTGAAAGAACATATACGTACATGTATACAAGATGACAAGATCCCTTGAAGCTATCTATATAATATATTCAAAAGACTTGGTGCTGTGAGCGATCTTGAATTGAGAGAGCGTCTTGGAGGATCCACAAGCTCCAGGCATATTCCATAGGTTGCTTGCAACTCGGCTGCTCAGGACGGGGGATTTGGCACACTATGCAACAGCCACAGGCCCCGCGGCATAATGACAGGGACAGTGGAGGAGGGTTGGCTTGATGCAAGTGGTCTTGTGCTTTGAACTTCTCTTGCTGTAAGTCTGTGACATGTGTTTCTTAGGGACTGAGTCTTTTTTTGCCCAAGGTTTATGGATTTTCATGTATGTTCACACACACACAAACGGGTAGTGGAGCAATGTATGCATTGGCTTGGGTTTATATAAAGATGTTTAAAGATCTCGTCGCATAGAGGTTTTGTTGCGCCAACCCCAAAAGAAAAAAATCAAGTTGCTAGACATCTAACCTGTGGTGGTGTCTCAGAAAGGTAGACCTAGTTGGATTCCGAAAAAAGAAAAGGACAAACACGCTAGTGGTGTTAGGTGTGATCTTGGGCAGTGCCATCCAAGTCATGAGGTCAACAGCATTTGGTCTTTGAGATCCTGCCGGGATTGTCGGGGGCCTCAGTGAGGCTCCATGTCTTCTGGTGAAAATGAGAAGATGAAATCCATCAACTACGGTTCTTTCCTTGGAGGGAAAGGATTAAAGTTGAATGGATATGATTTCGTCCAAATGGTGTATATAATGTATATAATATATGTACGTGTATGTACATGTCAGCACATGTTAGCTATATTATGCTATATTTGTATAACTGTATATGTTGCGATCTTATCGGCGTTAAAGAGTTTAAGGGGGGCAATGTTTGGACCTGCAGAACCCTTTAAACGTGCTGTCTATTTTCAGGATGAACTCATGGTCCAAGCTAAAGCGTCCTTTCGAAGCTGTTGGGGCTCTTGAAAGCCCTTTTGCAGTACAGCAGAAGAAGTTGGAAGCCCTGAAATCCTGCAAAGACCAGGACATGTGCGTTACATGTGCAACACTGGATGCGTGAGAGCACTTAAACAGTTCAGATGACCTGGCTCCTTTCCATTCTACCCTAGAACATTCTTCATTGACCGTGTTCTTTAAGCAGGGATGCGGCATGAGTTAAAGTATTATAAACCATCCGAAGGCAGAGCCTGATGGCTCGCCCCGTGATCCACCAATTCATAGGGTTGTTTGATCATAGGTCATAGGTGAATGTGGGTGCATATTATACGTATATAAAGACTAGACCCTGCTATATGTCACATATATTTACACTTTAAATTAGATGTGTTTAACGATGTGTTTCTTCTTTGTTTATCTTGGGAGTCGCGGGCCATGCTGATCATGCTGTGATTTGGTCATACTGTTGACGGACTGGAAAAGCTTTGGCAACGTGAAACTCTGTAAAACGGCCTTCATCATCCATCATGTCGAGTGGGGGGGACCATGCAGGTTCATGCCACGAAAATGCAGGATGCTGAGGAATCGACTCAAACACTCCTGCACCTCTGGCAAGTCCAATGCCACGCCCTTCCCAGGGACGACACCATTCCTGGAAGCTCGGTCTACAGAGAGCCTTGGCCAGTCGAGCCCGCCCAAGATCGGTGGGCAGCTCGGCCTCGGGAGGCTCTTCTCAGAACGACTGGAATCAACGGAGAAGTACCCCCCCAGACGCTTCATGTATGTGCAAATAACTCTGGAGCCACAATCGAGCCACCATCAATTCAATCCATATTTAGGCAATTTTAGGCATATTTAATCACATATCCATGGTGTGGCAAAAAGTAGGCAATCTTGGCGGCACCATGGAGCGTTTGGGGACAGATTTGCCAGACCTCACAGAGACACTTCATGGAACTTCGCCGAAGTGAACTCGGCTCCTCGTTGGCAGTTTCCATGTCACACTCCAATGGCAGAAGTAGAAGATCGCGGGGGGGCGGGGGCGGGGGCGATGGAAGCAAATCCACGTGTCGCAACGGTCAACCATGAGTCAACTCGGTCAACATCTTGTACTTGTTTGCTGAGACAGTGACTCGGTCGCTCCAGTCAACAGACATCTCTCTATATAGACCCCCAAATAGATTTGAAAAGTAGATCATCACTTCAAAAACTATTGGAAACCGTGCGACTATCCATTTGGGGATCGCGATGTATATAATTTAAGCTCATGTGCCCGAAAATACTCAGGGCCCTTTCGTGCATTTGAGCCAAGTGCATCTATTTGGGTATCACTCCCTATAGGGCTCCCAGTACCTTCTAAGAAGGTGGGACTGGGGTGGGTGCCAGGAGGGTCCAGTCATACCGAGCCTGAGGAGGCTCCACCGCAGCCCTAGGGACTCGAGCCCTGTTGAAACCGACGGAGCTCCAGCGATGTGATCGGTGCGCGGAGCTCAGGATGTGCTCTTGCCGCGGACCAATCTCTTGGAGGCCGGGAACGGTACGGAGTGTTGGGGCCTTTGGGTGCACCGCTTTGCGAGCGTTTTGGGGGGGAACAGCATGGGTCCATTCCGTGGTTTGTTTGGAGGTTGGAAGATGTTGGGTTGGTATCCCAGACATGGTTTATTGGTTTGAGGGAACATCCACCGTTTGGGAGGTGAACGCTATGGTGTCCTGTATATGGTGCCCTTCAACTATAGTCCAATGAACGAAGTTGGATGGACTTCTTAACCAACTCAAGTTGAGGGTGAACTCCACTTCCAAGGTGGAACGGATACCTGGATGAGTTTGATTCAGGATTCGCGGGTGTTTGCTGTGGATGTTCTACTGCCGAGCCTTTGGCCTCAACATCCATGGACTCAACAACTCCAGAAACGTCCAGATCACGAAGTCTGTAAACGGTCTGTTGGTGGGCATCCACACGTGGTGGCCTGTGTTTTTTTCTTCTCTTTACGTCTATTGCGCATGGAGACGGCCCCACCCTCCTCCCGGGCACCGCCGACTCGACATCCATCCGCAGCCTCTCTTGGTCTCTGCTGACCTGGATCAGCCCTCAGAGGCCGGAAAGGAGGTCGTGCGGATTCGGGATGTTTCCAATGGGCGGAGATGCTGATCATATGGCTGTGGGTCATACCAGGATACCTTGGTTAGCTACATGGTGGACTCCAGGTTTAACCCATCCCCATATTCTATCAGCACACTCATTGGCTGATCACCAGATCACTTGGGCAAAAGCCAAATCCTTTTGGAGCCCCTCATTGGCTGATCGGAAGAGTCCCTTTATTGTTTGCAGAATTGCGGGTCATGCTTACAACCCAAACACTCCAGGCATGTAGGCAAAAGAATGCGGTAAGCATTGTAATCAACGACCAGGCACTAGCATCCCCCTGAAGGGCAGGTGCGTGTCACCAATCCCCCAAAAGCGCCAAGGAAGGAGTTGATTGGAACTCTATGATTCCTCCATTTCAGCAGCTCTGGCTCTGAACAATCAGAGATTAGGATTTCTAGAAGAAAGCGGATGCGCACCATTTGGAGCCTTTTAACGCTTGGAGAGCACAATGTAATTAGTGGTAGTAGTCGTAGGTTTCCCACTCCAAGATAAATCAGATTTCCATGTTGCTTGGAAAGGCAATGCCCACCATACATCTCCCAACATGCATGGTCCAGGCCCGGCAAGACTTCTGCGGACGGCTCTTCACCGAGCTTTGGTCTGAGGCTCTTGTTTTTCGCATGGATTAGTGGATGCAGAGAAAAGAGAGCAGTAGTTCAGTTCCGCAAGAAGGGTGTACCTCCTGGAGTTCTCCAAGTACTGTATACATTAAAACTTGGTGTATAGAGGTCATATACGTGTTTCTTTCAGGCCATGACCCATTTTCTAGGATGCTGTTTCGGGTCCAAGTCCCGGTACTATAAGTTCTTGTGGTCCTTTTGGGCCTGTGTGTCAAGCTTGCCGTCCTGCAAGCGACCACACACACTCTTTTGTGTCTAGTCTTGGAGTCTTGAAGCCAAAAGCTTCTGAGAAGAATGTCCTTTGAGTTCCTGCTAGTTTGAGGGAATGAACTGTTACCCCTTTACGCAACAGACGCATCATGTTTCTGGGCGGAACTTATTCGCCTCCAGTGCATCAGTGTTTGGAGACTTTGCACCGCCCCAGTGGGTGACACAGGCTTTGTTGGGCTTTGTGGGTTTTGCAGTTGGAAGTTGGCTTGTTACATGAGATTCTGCAAGAGTGTACTGGAACATACTGAATAATGTATTGCTTCGAAGGCTTCGTTGGTTCCTTCAATTACGTGCTGCTTGAGGCCAAATAGTACTTGCATGCAGGCATGCTAGGTATATGATATAAGAAATTGGCCCATTGCTGAACGATCCTCGGCTTGGCACCAGGATGAAGAAGGCTTTCCCATGCCAGATGGTTGCTACTACAGTGAGGAGCACTGGCAGGGCTCATGTTGATTTTGTTCCACCATCAGGAGGAGCTTGAAAGGGGTCGTTGTGCTTTTTACTACTGTTACTACGCTCAAATTATCCAGAGCTCAAACATCCTGCAGAAGGAACAACTGTTGGTATACTACGTCACAGGATTTGCTGACAAATAGGACCGTCAGCACATTCCTTCAGGATGATCTCAGCTGAATTTCCCCCCCAGTGGCACTGATCTCTGAGCTTCTTTGAGCCCATCCACCTGCAGGACACGACAAATCCATCCATGACTGTGAAACAGCTTCTAGGCAAACATGGATCACCGATGGCCCTGGGGGGCGACGATCGGGCCATTGCAAGGCGAGAGCGACCTTGTTCGTTTCCTGATGTTCGAATCATGGTCGGTAGCAACCTTTTGGTTCCCAGATGGCCAAACAAAGAAACAAATTAAAGCAAACCAAACGAGAAAATCACCCACGGGTTCCCAGGATTCGCCCCATTTCAACCGAGCGACGCAGAAGCACTCCACAAGCATTCCCAAAGGGACAATCGTTGGGTTTGGAAAGGGCCTTCCTTTTGTTTGTGGGACCCATTGGTCTAGGTTCAGGTGTCCTAAACGACTGAACTCCAAAACAAATCAGAACCATTCAGAACCAATCATTGGTAACCTGTCAGGTGGGTGCCCTCTCAGGTACCATTCTGATCACTCGGAGCATGCTGTTTGTTGACTGGGCAAAGCCAGATCCACGTGGTAAATGAAAGCAGAGGAGCATCACTAGCAGGCATTGATCCTGTGTGAATGAAAGAGGAAATTCCAGCTGGTGGCAGGAATGAGGTTGATAAGCAAAGAATGTTGAAGCGAAACCTCATCAAATTCTCATGTTTTCCTTTTTCTCCCAAGGTGGAGGGGATCAAAGATGATTTCATGGCGACGGCTTTGGGTGAGCTCTCAAGTTCCCAGATTTGGTTGATGGGAAAATCTCCTATTGCCCCACCTTGGGTGGACTGGCGTTTCTTTGGATGAATGCCTTAAAGAAACGAAAGGTGTGGAGACCCCGCCCAGACACTCCAACGAACTGGCATATATTTCCCTACACTGAGGCGGTGTTTGGAGGGGTCAATGTAGGTCTACATGGATGTACATGGAGTGTTTGGATCTGGTCATTCCTTACTCAATTCGGGCTCCTTCTGCTTCTGCTGTGCTGATCCTTTCTGCATTCCTTGGTGCCGGAGGTGGTGGCTTCTTTTGGCATGTGTGTTTTGGATCACAAAAACATTCACAGGCTGCTTGAGGAGTGCACAGGCTGCTTGAGGAGGCTACAATCAACCTTCTGAAGCAAACTCCTTGTCCGAAGAGTATCAGCTATACTTATCATGCTTGTAGTGGTTTCGGAGTAGATGGCACAAACCCAAAGACATGGGACATCACTGTAACTCTTTCTGCACGCAAAAAACAAAAAACACCTCCTAAGAGGTCACCCATGTTTCGCCGTGTTTCACCCACAACCAAACTCAGAAAAAGAAAAAGACCTTAGGTTTGAGAGTCGGGTCATCTCCGAAAAGCGCCCAGAGAACTCACCAGGAGTTCTGCACAAAATGCCCGTTTGCTATTGGATGTTCGGTACCTCGTTCTCCACTCAGCTGGATTCGTCCTGGACCGAAAAAAGAGCAACGACCAGGCGAACGAGTCCGACGAACGTTTCCAAGGCTTCACATCCTCTTCAGCGCGGGGAATCATTTGAAGAAGAACACCAAGTGCCGAAAAACCAGCCGCCAACTGCCGGTCAGGGACGATGAGGGTTGGGAAGGGATGCGTTTGCGAAACAGTAAAACACAGGTAAAATAAGAAGGTCGTTCCCGAGGAAGCGTCGAATCGGAGAGATTGGAACAAAGGGTTTGAGTCAAAGAGACTTTGTTAGCTCATTCTAGGATCATTCCCTGACACTCCATGGGACTGGCACATATTTACACACATTCATCCCTGAAGGTTCCTTGCCGAACACGTTTCAAAGACTGAAGGACCTCAAACTCTGAAGCCTCACCCCAAGTAGTCTGCCAGCAACGACCGGGCGTTTCGACCGGGCGTTGCTGCATGTTGCTGCCCTGGTTTCGGGTGGGTTGTTTGTGTGAGTCGGCACGCCATGTTCTCTTTTTTCCTGGTGTCACAACGATTTGCTGATTTTCTTCAGAGCGAGGTCGAAACACCCGGTCGTTGCGGGCAGACGACTTGGAGTGAAGCTTCAAAGTTTGAGATCCTTCAGATTGCTCTTTAAGCAGTAGCAGCAAATGGTCTAGCAATCAATCGGACTGGCATACATCCCTACATCAATGTTTGTAATTTTGCCACAATACAAATTACAAATTGCAAATATTTGCCCTTGTCCACGGCACTTCTCGTTGCCCAAATTCCTTCATCCCTGCGACAAGGAGTATTTTGATGCAACGAGAAGTGACATGGACAAGGGATCACAAGCGATGTATCTGAGACCTGCCGTTCCTTCCATCCGAACTCGGCAAGAATTGGATGCCACAGGTACATGGCCATCACCAACATGAATGTGCTTGAGGCGGGTTTAGCAGAGTTGGGATGCAAAGAATACGGTTTCGGTGAAGACTGAAGACTTGGTTATTTGCAGTTCAATCGCTTGGCAGAAAAGCAAGGAACAAAGCAAGGAGCTGCTGCCGGGTCATCTCCTATCTACTCTCCCTCTCTCTCTATGTACTATGTATATATATATATATAGATACGTATATTTTGTAAGCATGTTGGACGACAAGTTGGATCATATCGATCCATTTAACTTTAGTCGCTGTTGCAGCCACTTCCATTTGGCGCCTCAGGACTTTGTCGATTACATCGAAAGCAGACAGAGAAACCATACAAACAAGCAAAGAGACAAGACAAACACCTTGTTGAACGAGAGAGGAGTCGCACCTTCCCCTTCGCTCAGCGAAACCAAGCACCCAAGACATGACCCTTTCGTCTTGCACACATGAAGTTGGACCCTTTCCTCCGTCGCGAAACGCCCGGGAAGCCCGTTGCGCGACGCGAAACGGCCAGTACCTCCGAGCCGACTTCCCTGCGGATGGGGCCGTGTGGGTGTGGTCCATGGATGACGCCGGGAAGCCGATCAACGCTGCGATCGATCAGGGGTTGGTGTCTTATGAATTCCCATGCTTTGGTGGGGGAGTCAATAGAGGGCTTGTGATGTGTGTGTGAGTGTGTATGAATTGATCAATTAGGGGACCTTCGTTATAGTAGTCGATATAATATATACATGTTTGGTCCAAAATCTGATGCTCGTTGTTTAAACTACATGTCATATGTCATTTCCGCACTCAAGGACAATCTAATGCGACATGGGCTCAGAAAGACAAGCCCATTGGTGTTCTAGAACAAACAGAAATCATCGAGCAACATTGGAAAATGAACTATGAAGTAGGTGAGAGGTAAACAGAAATCACAGAACTCACACGCACAGCGAGGGTTTGGAACATGTTCCCAACTACCGGGTGCCTCGAAGTCCAAATACTCCACTGCAACGTGAATGATTCTCGCTTGCCTCGATTCCAGGTCCCCACTGAATCAGTGAAGCAAAGTGCGCTGTCCTCTGCTCAGGTCTACAACAATCCCTTCGGCGTGGTGGAGAAGGGATCTGCTTTTTGGCCGAAGAGCCGTTTCGGCTTGAGTGGTCAACTAAAAGTCCTCACTCTCAATGCCAGTGAACTCCAAAATACACCATGTTTGTTTGTTTGTTTTCAAGCTCTTGTAAGAGGTGTCAAGGTTAATTCCCCTCTCATCTTACATCTTTCACCGAAGGGTCGGGGAACTCTCCGATCGCCGGAGCGGACCAAGGCTTACCCAACGCCTGGGACTCGAGTGCCTCCTCGCGATACCTTGGGCGTCCGAATACCAAGCGGTTGCTCCGGCGCACCCTGGGTCTCTTGCGGCGCGGGGTGGTGATTGATAGTGGCCCTATAGAAAAAGGATTGGTTTTTGAATCGTTCCTATCGATATCCACAGATACATGTTGTGAAGAGGTGACTTGGGCAAGTCTTCGTCGTACCCTATTGAAGAGCACGGAGCTGCGAGTTCGGGCGATAGTAGTAGGAGGAGGAGCAGTAGCAGTAGCAGAAGAATACCATGTTTGCCTGTACTTGGTCCCGCAACTAAACTTTTTCTCAACCTATGGAAGCGTCCTGCAAGGGTGTAACGCAGAAGTTGTATCATAATTTTCTGAAGGTTTGTTGAAGAATGAGTGACGCACCAACTCTTACAGTCTTACAGTTTAGATTCAGATCTCAGATAAAGTTTAAGCACGTTGAGCGCACTATTACACACACACAATAAGAACGTGCCTGGAGCCACCCACGTTGATTAAGAAGGCCCTCATTAAAGTTGAGACACGTTGAGCTTGTTTGCTCAAGGGGCACATCTGAGTAGGAGCGAAGTCACCATTGGAATTGTTATTTTTTTGTTGCGGATGTCGTGCCATGCCATGCATGCCACGTGTAAACAAGACCGTCCGGAGTCTGGACTGTCATAGTCTACTGTCAATCAGCATTTGGGACCTGCCAACCCATCAATCTTCAATTGTTCCTCTCAGTAGGAGTTTATGGGTCCCCCTTGATGAATTGCAGTGTTGAGTTGGCACTGATTGTTCTCAAACCAGTGAGGAATGCGTGTTCTGGGCTACTTGCGAAGCTGCACAAAACGAGACCGACCATGAGATCCGTTTTGTGGCAATAAGCATCTCACTCATATGGCAGTTCAGGTGGAAAACCATGCGTGCAGGATCCGGGGCCAACACATCTTAGAATTCATGATTCAGTGAGAATCTCACTCAATCATGATCATGCATTCCATTGAATTTTGATGATTTTTTCATGGAGCATCACTCACACCAGCCCAACTGTAGTCAAACGAACAAATCTTCGTGGTGTCGATGACCTCTTCGCAGAACCCCATGTTCAACCAAGCGGGAGATCCACGCTGGGAGCCTCAGAGAGACAGTTTTTTCGGAGAATATCTTTCGGAGACACATCGATCGGTCGAGGACGGCGTCGACGCTTCAGGGATCTTCTTCCGGTTCAAAAAGAAACAGGGATTTCGAGGACCTTAGGGCTCTAGAGACTCTAGAGGTTTGTCTATGACTGGTCATGGAGGGACCTCCCAGGTCATGGATGTGTTGGGTGAAAAGAGGTGAAAAGGTTCGGTTAGGCTTGGTTTCTCGTACCATCGACCAAACACGGCCGCTTCGAGGCCGGCTCAGGCTGCAATCAGATCCAATTTGTTCACCCCTCCGATCCTCATGTCACTGCCATTGAGGGGAGGTGTGCCATGTGCCACGCATGGGACCATATGGGACCTATACATGGTTGTCGATCTAAAGGTCCTAGTCAGCAGTGTGTATGACGATGACCCGGAACATATCAAAATCTCATTTGGCGAAGGTTTTTTCTCGAGTTGGCGAAAGTAAATCTTTTTTTGGCGAAAGATCTGGCGAAAGATTAAATATGTACTTTTGTATGAATGTTCATTTGCTTTCTGAACAGCTGGTGGCAGTGACTCAGAAGCTAGATGAGCTGTGGAAGTTAGATAACCTGCTGCTGCTGCGACTACTACTACTACTACTACTACGACTACTACGACTACCACTACCACTACCACTACCACTACCACTACCACTACCACTACCACTACTACTACTACTCCTACTCCTACTCCTACTCCTACTACTACTACTACTACTACTATTCCTGCTCCTGCTTTGGGGGGTGGCTTTGCCACAAAACTCTACCCCGCAAAAGGCGAAAGTTTGGCGAAAGTTCAGCTCAAGATTGGCGAAAGTTCACCCTGCCACATCTGACCCCCAGCCCATTATAAGTAAGTTTGAGTGACCGGCTACTACAGTGATTCTTGCAATTTTGATTCTTGCTGACACCCAGGAGAAACAAAAGAGACGTACAGGGTGTCAACAGTTAAGTAGAAGACACATGCTGACAAGCAGTCAAGTTTCTATTTTGTGTTTGCCAGTAAAGAAGAAGCCATTGACGTGAACAAAACACAACATACATGGCACACATAAATACAACGTACTTCGGCGAAAGACAAAACGCAGGAAGGCGAAAGTTTGGCGAAAGTAATTTTTTTTTGGCGAAAATGACGGGTCCCGGATAAAGGAATTTAGATCAACTCCCACATCTTGGCGCGGAGATGTTTATCCGACCTCTTTCAAGGTGGACCCTGAACAATGTCTCACAATTGACGATGTGGTGTAGGAATGAGGTGTATTCGACCGCTAGCCACGGATCTTGTTTGTTGTTTACCCTGGTTTGTCCATGTTCGATGAGCGCTCCTTCCAGCATGCCCAGAAGCTGTCCAAAATCATCAAGAAATATATCCAGTGTGTTTGCCTCCATATGGAATCATAAGGAAATTTATATAATGTCGAAGTATTTATATGTAACCAATAGCCAGTGTGTAGACTTCAAGATACAGTAGATGTGTCTCCCAAGAACCTGTGATTCACAAAGATTCTATGAGCTATAACGTAGACTCATTGGTTTTGAACCCGCAAACTCACTGGATAGATCGCCCCATGTTGGTCCAAGACCTGGCCTCTCAGGTCTCCAGGTCTCCCCCCCACTATGTAGTCACAAGCACTCCCCAAATCGCCCATAGCTGCTAGATTTGCACACCCAGTTTGCTAATTCATCCACTTGCTCACCTGCTTGCACGACTCATCTCCCGAAAAATGCTTTCTTCCTTGGGTCTCCAGATCTTTGGCGCGGATTCACCGCTTTGACACCCCGCTTTTTACGCCGTTACGCCGTTACGACACCGTCCGCGCTTCTCTCCGGCTCCGCGGGTTCTGCCAAGGCTTCGACACAGAGCTTCAGAACGGCCAGGCCGCTCAGGGCTTCCGCGTGCTGGGCACCAACGGCGCCATCATCGAGGAGCCGACTGGACCCGACTGGACACGGTGGTTGGAAGTGGTGTTATTGGTGGAAAACATGATCATTCGTGGGTTGGTGGAAAGCATAAGACAGATACAGCAACTGAAAAACAGCAACTATCCGACTATACTCAGTATATAAGAGTTGCAGTGCAGTAGGTTTCTATGAGTGCACGGGGGAGGAAAAGTGTATTATTTGTTTTCTTTGTTTTGTTTGGTCCAACCGGTTTCACATCACGCAGGAATCCAGGAAGCGGAAAGCTGCCGCTAGGGCTGTCGCTTGGGAGTCTCTGAGTCGTTGGCTTCGGCCAATGGTGAGCACCCAGACTCAGTTACCATAAGCATCCGCCTGTGTTTCTTCAGGTCATGACATATCACCCGAACGCGACCTGAGTCGCGACCACGCGACCTGTGCGGGTCATAGACCGAAAGGTCGGTCTTTCCTCGGTGTGTTGTTTCTAATAGCTTCTTGTTACTACTAGTAAGGCACTTGTTCCTAGTAGCTTATTTCGCCTTCGGACTTTGTGACTTGCAAGTAATTACCGTGACCTGCAAATAGACCGAGAACATCGGTTGGGTCCTTTTGTTTCCTTTGAGTGTCGGAAAGCATGCAAGCCATGGCACTGCCATGGCATATCCAACATATTGAGAGACATGACCCGGTCCGTCTTGTCCTCAGGAGATGAAGACCTACTGCATTCCTCATGATGAGCGGGGCTCCCTGGGCTTGTCCTTCCTGGTCCAAGAAGATCACCATGCAAGTGTCCAAGTTGGATCTCGATTTGAAAATTTATCTCTCTGGACGAGAAGTCGAGGTGATTTGGTAATTTTGCTTTAGTTCAGTGACAACAGGACATGAAGTCGGTAATTCCATCGCAATCATCCAGTGTGGAAGCTCAGCAATGAAGTAATTCCGAAGGGAACACGACGTGTAGGAAAAAGATGAACAACAATGATGGCTTTGTTACAATCCGAATCAATTGCAGGGTTTGAAAACAGATGAACCAATGCAATCCAATGCACAAATGTGTTTGATACATTTACACATCGCGATCTAACATTGAGGCATGACATGACAGGAAGCAAGATGATGTATTTGGCACGCTGTATACAGATGTAAGTCCAGATGTATACAGTAAAGTGAAGCTTGGAGTTCAGAGAATCATCATGAGTTGAAGAGACTGCCTGATAAGTTGTCGAGTTCAAGACACTTGGACGATCTGGGACGGACATTACCAGTCAGTAGATTCAACATGAACACGTCGCAAGAATCTTCTAAGAACTCAGTCTATATAGTTTGTTTTTTTGTTTAAGAAGCAACAAGAACGAATCGCCGCTCTTTGAGGAGGATACAATAGGCTACAAAAGAAGCCTCTACGGTAGCCAATTGGACTTCAAGACACTCCTGGCGCTTCTTGTTACTAGTAGCGATGCCCTTTGATACTATAGTAGCTTCTTGCTCCTTGTAGCAATGCCAGGAGCTACTAGTAGCTTCTTGTTACTAGTAACGATGCCCATGTATATACTCAGACTTGCTTGCCGCGCCCAGGAAGAACCCCACTGTGTCACCGTCCACGACACTGGCGTGCCAAGTGTGCAACACCGAGGAGGACTCAGTTCTGCACACTTCTGCCCCGCCTCGCACAGTTCTGCAAAAAAAGGATTGAAGGATTCGATCTCGAAGTTGGTGATCTGAGGATTTCTCGGAGGTGCCAGGCCGTCCAAGTCGACTGTGTTTTGGGTCGAAGGGCCGTCCAAGTCCTGCGACATCCGAAAAGGACTGCGGCAACGGGGGAAATGGCGTGGAGCCCGATCCTTCTTTGAGCGCGGCGCCCCACAGGCGGCGCTCTTTCGCTGGGCGGCCGGACTCGACCAGGTGAGGTGACCAGGGGTGAAGTCGGGGAGATGCCTTGGAATTTCGGAAGACAGGCGCGACAGGCATGAAAGAAGAATGAGTAAGGCATCAGAAGCATGAAAGACGGGGGCATTTGGCTGGGAAGAAGAAGATAGAGTTTGATAGAGTCTTCCCAGAGGCTCTACGTCCATTCTTTCCTGTAAGATCTGAGGATGCCGACAGCAGATGTTCCCCTAGCTTTCAGGGAAATGATCTGCATGGGTAATTCACTGATTGAATGCACACAAGTGTTTTATTCACTCCGTGGTCCGGGTGGACAAATGTGGACAATATGAAGAGTGAAAAACACAGAACTTCTTCAGTAAAAAGAAGCAAGAGCTATTGGCTATTATGTATTTATATATATACAGAGAGATAAAAAGAGCTATTAGCAGATCATATATATTACATAAAGCCTTTTACAGCAAAGACCGACCCCTTCTCAGCTGTTCGTTCTCCGTGTCCACACTCCGTTCACTCTCCACCCTCCTGCCCGTGGGTTCCGAGGCTTCTGCCGCTCGCCCATCGATGCCAAGTGCCCGGATGCCAATGGCGACCTGTTGAACGTGGGGGAGCCCTTGGATGCACATGGGAGGATGGAAGAGCGTCGGTGGCGGAAACAAAAAAAAACCAGAGAGGTAACAAGTATTTTAGCTAGTATTGACCCGACCTGTGGTATTACCTGAGAGGTATTACTAGTGGTATTACCTGTGGTATATACATACTGTAGTACTAGTATTACCTGACCTGTGCATACCTGTACTTTAAAGACTACCAACAAACACCGGGCCATTTTGGTTTATAGTATATGGTAGTTGTTGTTGGTCGTTGGAATGTATTGAAATTGAAGCTCCTCCTTCTTCAGGGCGGTTTTCTAGAGCAAGAATTGGGTCATTAGGCCGCTCTGAGCCATTAGCTGTTGCAGGAACAAAAGCACACCGTGTAGGAGATGTCACACACGCAAACTGATGCATATTTGTTTGTACCAACCATCATTATCCAGTATAAGTAGCCGTGGATGTGGCTCAGAAACCGGAGCCCCCCCAAACCCACTGGCCAATATATCATATATAAGATGTAACAAACACTAAACACATGACATTACCACCGGTCGGGTCGCTGGGTCGTTTTTTTGCAACCACCGTAGGTCGGTGTTTGTTGACGCTGTCAGTCCGGACCCACCGTTTGAGGCCGTCCCGTCCGGACCGAAGACTCCATGTGATTTCCGGACCCGAAGACTGGTGATGTGTTGAGATCGCTTCGCTGAGCCCGATTGAAGAAACCCTTGCACCATCTTGCACCTCCAAAAACCATCCCTTCGGTACCACTGGTGACTGTGCATTGGGTCCTAGCATTGCAGGATGTATGCATGTCTTTAGAGCAGAAAGGTTTCAATCGACTGGATTTGTGTCCACCAACTGATGAGTGCCAAAGAGTTGTCATCGCTAGAGCAAACAAGAGTCTTGGTAGGGACTAAGTGCGACTTCAGATGACAGAACCTGGGATGAGGTATGATGTGGTGGTGGAGATACATCTTTAAAAGGATGATTGGTCCGGCGGGGTTCTCTTAATTGTCCTTTGACCTTTAGTGCCCAGCACGGGCGCTTTATGCTGCAGTGAAGGAATTGCATCAGGGTTTTGGTGCTTTTCCCATGTGAAGAAGCAGAGGAAGAAGCTCTTTTATATATACTTCATATGCTTTTCACCATGTCCAACAGCGGAAGGAATCCATTACCAACCCCCAGACCCCCCCCACTGACCGCCACGATCCCCAACATGACCCCATTCGGAACGACCTGCTTTTCACCTCAGGTGCCTGCCTTCAGCTTCGAATTCAAAGCACGCTTGGGCCATCCCATCAAGCCGTCGCCCGGGCTGCCGTTTGGACGGACGTCGACCCGAATCCATCGCATGGCATGGAGCCATGTTGGGTGTTGTGCCGGTGGGATCCCAAGCGGTACCTGTTTGATCTGACGCACAAAGGGCAAGGTTCGCTTCATGACGGCTTCTTTTTCCTTCGGTGAGGAGTTCCACCGTGGTTGGGGGAAAGACCATTTTGAGATACAGAGAGATGCATACCAAAACCGTTGCACGTGCTTCAAGTTTTGAATTGGGGTCTAGAGCCACCAACAAGTGCAACTGCACATAACTGGACAGTTGGCGACCCATCAAACCATATCACACCCATTAAATCTGAGTGTGTGATCGGTGAGATCAGTACCATTGAGTGTGCGTGTGTGTGTGTGTGTGTGGGTGTGTGATTTTCGATGCTTTAGTGTTTGGTCGCGGACAAACGCCCTTGTGCCGGCTATTTTCAAGCAATCCACGCATCAATGGCAGGCAGTCGATCCTGCGGCTGTGGCTGCATCCACTGACGCAGTGGGACATCGGAGCTGCGTGCCAGGCACCTTTGGACCTGAATGGGGAATGCTGAATTGCTGGCAGAGTACATTCAGAACTAAGACCTGCACAAGGGCCTCCTTTGATGACCCTTTGGCGGTTTTTAGGGGCTGTCTCCGTTAATTAAGCCCCCCTTGTGAGAAGGACACCTACATTTTACACATGTTACTTGTTTTGCAATTTGTTTTTGGAGCTTGGTGCTGTAAAGGTTGAATGACTTTATAGGCACTTGAAACATTTGGAAACCCAAGCAGGAAGGCTCAGGCAAGACATCAAGGACTAACATAATTTTCAATTTCTACCTGGAAATCTCACTCAGAACCCTCCATATGGAGTCTTTTGTCCCGGACATCTCACTCGGTTTGGCCATTTGGGATTTTTCACCTCTCAGACTACAGATTCCGCAATTCTGAGGGTAGCGGGTTACCGTTGCCTGCAATATATCTCCCCGTCGGAACTCAAACACCTCAAATCCCAAGACGTCCACTTCCATCCACTTCCCGTATAAGACCCCACTCAGGGTTTGAGCCATTTGAGTCCTCACGGGGAGGCATCAAGAAAATAGACATCAGCAACACGAAGGCACTTACCTTTCTCTCTTCATTTTTTCCTTCTTCAATGGCTTTAACATGCTTTAACAAAGACACATCCGACTTAGTTCCCCAATAGCCATGCTATGGGGTCTTGCAAAACTAATAGGCGGACGGGCGCCGTCGGGTCACCGTCAGAGCTGGTGGGCGGATGGTGTCCCGGTCATGTTTTGATGGCGTCCGGGTCATGTGATGCTGGTGTCCCGGTCATGTTTTGATGGTGTCCCGGTCCTGTTCTGATGGTGTCCCGGTCATGTTGTGATGTTGTCCCGGTCCTGTTCTGATGGTGTCCCGGTCATGTTTTGATTGTGACCCAGTCATGTTGTGATGGTGTCCCGGTCCTGTTCTGATGGTGTCCCGGTCATGTCGTGATGGTGTCCCGGTCATGTTGTGATGGTGTCCCGGTCATGTTGTG